TAACATTAATACAGCAGACAGCTTGGAAAAACAAGTGAGAAAAGGGCCACGAGAAAAAATAATTATCCTAAAGAGATCACACAACTTATATCTGATAAGAGAAAACAAAGAATTCTATGGCACCAATCCAGATCTCCACAAGATAAGAAAAAGTTGAATAATCTCATAAAATTGTTAAAAAAGCAAATCCAAAATTACTTTGATACTTCAACCTATCTCCAAAACCTAACAAGTGATCGCTGCACGGACTACTCATTCTGGGAGGCCACTAAAAATATGAAACAGCCGATTACTCAAATACTACCAATAAAAATTGAACCTGGAAAATTCGCTGTTAGCAATGAACAAAAAGCCAAATGCTTTGCTGATCATCTGGAAAACACATTAAATCCAAATGAGTGCAAAACAAGTTATGGACCTACAACAAATGAAGTCCTAAACGAGGACTTCTATACATATAATAAAATTTCAACTAAGCCAAATCTGTACATTAAATATTTTTTGTAAAGTCTTATTGAAATAGACATTATTATCGATACAGAGGCCGAATCTATATTTTTTAGAATTTTTGTCTGTCTGTCTGTCTGTTACCGCATCACGAAAAAACTACTGGAGGGATTTTGATGAAATTTGGTATGGTGGTAGCTGATTATCCGGGTCAACATATAGGATACTTTTTAACACGGGAAAATATCTCATTTCTGAGAAAAAATACAAAAATGCAATGTTAGAGTATACTAATATGTAAATCCTAAGGATTTGGTTTTTGGTCATCTGAACGCCGACGGAGCCTCGGGCAATGCTAGTCTATAAAATGGGTATCACCGAGAGAAGTTTTGTGGGAAATCAAACATAATATCACTTGGATTTGATCTTATTTCAGGCGAAATACTAAACAACCTACCAAAAAGAGCCCTAGGAAAGCTAACAAACCTTATCAACGCTGCCCTAAGGCTGAAATATGTGCCAGGTTTATGGAAAGTAGCGGAAGCAATTATGATACCGAAACCAGAAAAACTGCCTAGTGAGATGACCATGTCCAAACTATTTGAAAAACTTTTACTAAAGAGGATAAAACCAATATTAGAAACCAAGAGACTTATTCCAGATCACCAAGTTGGATTCAGGGAAAAACACTACAATAGACCAAATCCATAGAATCACAAATATCATCGAGAAAACTCTAAAAGAAAAACAAGTCTGCTCTACTGTCTTGAAGATAAGATGCTTAATCTGAAATTAGAAGTATAAGAGCTGGGGTGCCACAAGGAAACGTATTAGGTCCGGTCCTGTACCTTTTATACACTAGTGAAATCCCCGAATTAGAAAATAATACCATCGCGACCTTTGCTGATGACACTGCCATAATGGCGGTTGGAAATACTCACGCAGAAGCAGTAGAAGAGGTTCAAACAGCGTTTAATAAAATACATGACTGGACATTAAGAATAAAGTTAAATGAATCAGAATCAATTCATATAAACTTCACCAACAAAAAAGAAGACTACCATCATCATATTTATTAACAATAACATCATACCATATGAAAATACAGCAAATTATTTAGGAGTGACGCTTGACGCGAAGCTACGCTGGAAAGCTCTCTTTAAGAAGAAAAAAGAAGAATTGGAATTCCGGTACAAAAAGATGCATTGGCTGTTGGGAAGACATTCCTCTCTCTGTCTACAGACACACAACAAAATATTATTATATAAACAAGTCCTGATGCTAGTGTGGACTTATGGTATACAGCTGTGGGGCTGTACCAAAAAGAGTAATGTTCTTATCATCCAACGATTCCAAAACAAAGTTCTCAGGGGAATAGTTAATGCACCCTGGTACGTAAGAAATGACGATCTCCATCGGGACCTCAATATAGAGATTGTCGATAAAGTGATAAAAAAATACGCAGAAGCTCACGAGCAAAGACTTCATAAACATGTGAATATCGAGGCAATCCAGCTCCTCGATAACACGGACATAGTGAGAAGGCTAAAAGAACTAAACCTTATGAGTTAGTGTAGTGTTAAAAAAAATAGTGTAAAGTAGTGAAAAAAATAATAATATAGTGCTACCAATATAGAACACAAGAACAAAGTGTCTTCCCCTTAACTAGAGACTTTAAGAAAAGTGCCATTGGACACATTCTTAGATATATTATTTTATTAAAGTAGGTTAAAGTTAACGTACTCATTAGCCTTGTTGGCTAGATCGTAATAATATTAGGTTACAATATTTTAGTATTGTTACCTATATATATATATATATATATATATATATATATGTATATATCTACGCTCGGAGATTGTCGTTGAAAAGTACAATTTCCTTTTAAAAAAAAAATAACAAAAGACTTGAATAAATATAAAAAAAAATAAAAGTAAAAACTTTGTATGGGACGAGATTCGAACCTCTATACCTGTGATTGTTGTTTTTGCACCTTGGCCGCTTGAACATGATGCTTATGCCCGAGCGTGCAAATTACCGACCATATTTTGCATGGAATAGCAAAAGAAAACTGCATGAAAACTCAAAAACACGCGTTTTCTCAGACATAAGACTATTCTAGGTCGATTTATCGCCCCCGAAACCGCCTGTATACTAAATTTCATTCATGAAATTCGATTTTCAAATTGTTGGAGCCGTTTCCGATATACAAGAACTGCTCGTTTAATGATGTAAGATATAATATTAGTAAGTATTTATTTGGCAAAAAGACTGATATGTTATTGATGAAATTAAATTCTAGAAAAAACTAAAGAATATAATTCCATTATCTTGTGATTGTAGTAAAATAATCTATATTTTTCTTCTAGTCCAACGTCTCAAAGTTGACGTTTAGAAATGAGGATAAATGTTTACATTTAAATAAATAAATTTAACTAAGTATGTAATACGATTTTTATTTTATTCCTATATTATTTCTAGATCAGATATTTTCCCGCAATAAAAAGTATCCCATATTATGTTGATACGTCGGATAACCAGCTATCATCATACCAAATTTCTAGGGGTGTGCGAATATCGTTCGAATCGAATATCAATATTCGATTCGAAATTCGAATCAAAGAATTCGAATTTTCGAATTATTCGAAGAATTTCGAATAATTCGCGAATTAATGAAATATCTCTGGATCTTCAATTGTATCCATTTAAATTCCTTCAAATCGTTTGTCAAAATAGTCTACTTACGAATAATATACTTTTCGTTTAAAAATTAATTACCCAGAGAAAACAATTGCTTATTTTTAAAATTTGCAATATATGTTTATTATTGACTGTTAAATTTTTATTCGAAAATTGAAAATAAGAAACCCTGAATATAATTTGAATTATTCAAAAAAAAATGGATTATTCGAAAATTTTCGAATTATTCGAACTTTTTCGAATTATTCGAAATTTTTCAAATTATTCGGGAACTTTCGAATTATTCGATTCGAGTTTCGAATCGAATAATAATATTCGATTCGGAACGAATAATTCGTCAGTTCGAATTATTCGCACACCCCTACAAATTTCATCAAAATCCCTCCAGTGGTTCCGTGATGCGGTAACTGACAGACAGCCAAAAATTCTAAAAACTATAGATTCGACCTCTCTATCGATGATAATGACCACTTCAATAAGATTATTCAAAAAATATTAAATGTACAGATTCAACTCAGAATTTTATTATATGTATAGATTATGTAGCTAAAACATAAAGTTGATGTTGATTTTTGAATATTTAATTTTAACTTTCTGAAAACTAAAAATGCAACCAAAAACCATATGAATGTTTTTGAACGAGATTTGCAAGTCGATTTAACATTTGCTAACAAATATTTTTATCTGTTTCAAATCAAAAATTTGCGGGAAATTGTTTTAGAAAAATCTTATTCCAACTTTATTTAGCTTAATTACTACATATGTATAATAATAAATAAATAATAAATACGTTGGGACATTAACACACAGCACCATCTAGTTCCATGGTAAGCTACGAAGCCTGTGTTATGGATACCAGATAGTTGATACACTACACATCTATAACTGTAAATACATACATATTATAAATATAAACACCCATGACTGGGGTACAAACCTTCGTCGTCACACAAATGAATGCCCCCAGCGGGACTCGAACCCGCGACCGCCGGCACAGAAAGTAGGGCCACTACAAACTGAGTCAAACGTGTCGTCAAATGTGTATATATATACTTCTATAAAATTAAGTTTTGTATTATTTATTTTATATTTTAAAAACTACAATAATATTTCTTATGACTTTGAGCGAGTTTTCTTTAAGAATTGTTTGATAGTTTTAGAATTTGAACTTTGGACACTAAACTCACAAAAACTCTTTGGCTTTATGTTACACAGCGACTCATCCTGGCTTCGTTCCGGGTTTGTCGCTACGTATTTATATAATATTGTTCATACAAAAATACTAAAATCACGGTTAAAAATGGGGTGGTGGGGGTAGGAGGGTGAGAAATACTTTACCTACGACCTATTCTCATACCTACCAAATATACAAAAAAAAACATTAAATCGATTGAGTCGTTTCGAAGGAGTGCGATCACAAACACCGTGACACGACATATTTATATATTAAATATATTATTGAACAAATGAAATAAAAGATAACGGCTCAGTTAAGATGTGAACACAAGAGAAGCAAAAAACAGGTATAAAAGAGGTATGTATCACAATAAAATGAGTAACCTCAGCCTGAATGTAAATAGACCATACGTGTATGGTTTATTATTCCTTTAGAGAAATCATCTCCGTTTTTTAAATGAATATGATGACAGCACTAAAGTTGTCATCACCGTGCAAAATAAAAAAATAATACAAAATTTAAAATTATCTATGACTAGTCTCCTTAATCTGTGTCTATGACAGATACAGAATTGTGCAATCGAAACAATGTCAATTGTCATTTGTCAACAAAATTGAAAACATTCGTTTTAAAATATCTATTATATTTATGAAAATAATTTAAATATTAAGTTAAAATGGAGAATAGTATATACGAAACTCGATACGGCAAATGTAGATTTTGTTTCAGCAAAGGAAATCACAGGGATATAATGAAAGAATACAATTGGAATGGAATACGCGAAGTTTATTTCGATATTTTTCAAGAATGCTTCAATTTATATGTATGTTTTATTTGCATTTAAAATATCAGTGCATAAGTAGGTACTTTATTTTACGATAAACAATTAAAATTGTTGTAGTTATTACTACTTTAATATCGAATGAAATATTTTTATACTTACGCAAAATACTTCTATCTCTTCCGGTAACCGGATCATCAGTTTTATTTTGTTTCTTCGAAAACCTGCTTAAAGGACAATATCTACTAATACATTAAAAAAAAGGATTTAATTGTATGAAAAACTATCAGAAAACATTTCTTCAGAAGTAAATATTTCTAATCTATAGTTCTCGCGCATAAAAAAATATAATTTTCGGGCTGAGACTCATGCTCGCCACTCGTCCAAGATCTTTTATTAAAAAGTAGGAAAAATAAAAAATGTTAGCCATAAAGTAGTATAACGTGCAAAAGACACTTAAATTACTTAGTGGTTCAATTTTCGATAATATTTATATCTTCAATAACAATTATATGTTAAAAATATAAGTAAAATAATGTTTTATAATTTTCAAGTAACTAACTAAGAAGTTATGCTACATCTATTCCCATTATCAATTTCAATTTGCAAAATATTTTACACAACTCTTTATGAAATAAGCCTATTCTAAAATAATAATTATATTTCAGTTGTGTACAAATGGCCGAAGCTCCCTCATCTGTTGTCAATGTATAGATAAATTAAGAAATGCCTGTAGTTTTCGCACAATGGTTGTTAATGCGGAACAGCAACTGTTGGACACTCTTGATGAGAATCAGCCATTCTTTATAAATTGTAGGTTAATTTCTTTAAATATACATATATGCATTATATAAAAAAATAAGGCTCGATTTCCAGCTAGAAAAATAAGAATAAAATGATGCAGTATTAACTTTTTTTAAATTTGCCCTGTGACTTTTTTTTTTCATTAAAAATATTTGTAAAATTTAATCTATGTATATTTTATATTAAAGATTTTTTTCAGTTTTATTTATACTTGTTAGGCTGAAATAAATATGAAAATATTTATAGTTTATACATTTTTTTAATATATTAGACATTAGTACATTTTTAGGTATTTTAAAATAATTTCATTTATTCCAGTGAGAGAGCCATTAATAGAGGGTGATGTGAAAATAGAAAAAGAGTCGGAAGTGAAGAGTGAAGAGAATGAGTTAATTGATAATGTCGATGATGATTGTGATGATGATATTTTAGATAAATATGATGGTAAGAATGTTTATTCAGTTCTTCAACTAAAACAAAATTAATGTCAAATTCAAATCTTGGTGTTTAAATAGTATCGTGTTGAAGGGACTAACTTGCCCAACACCAGACCAAGCTTTGAATACTTGTTTTATAGTATCTGCATTTGCTACAATTAGGTTAAATTAATGACTGACGATATGTGTATGTATGTTTTGAATTTCTAAAATAAAAACGTAAACGGTAAAAAGTTTAATTTTATAAATGACAAACTTTCAAACATGCCCAGGGAACTATTATTTTTTTGGATGCAACTTCACTCACTTGCCTTCGCTTCAAACGGTCAAGGAAAACATTAACCTAATAAGTTTTCGTAAGACATGTGAAGCCAACACTCACTTGTCCAGCGTGGTGGACTATGGCCTGATCCCCCTCGTATTGAAGGGAGGCCCACCCCCAGCAGTGGGACTTTGATAAAGGCTTAATATATACATGAAATTTCTTCATTTTAGATACACTAACATATTCTACATCAAACCCAGATGATTTAGTAGAAGGTGAAGCAGAACTTCTAGCGCGATTCGCTCCCGGCATTTTAGAGCCTTTGCCCACGAGGAAAACTTTAGTATACAGATGTAAACAGTTTGTAAAGGAACTGGACCTTTTGAAAGGTTTGTCATCTCCTACTTTATGGGAAATATCAAAATTTATGACAAGTTTTGTTATGGCAGTTGCTTTTATTAACTAGTATTTTCCTGCAACAGTGCTTGGAGGTAGTTTTTTTTTAATTTGAGTTTTTTTTTTTAATTTAAATTCAAAATTTAGAAAGAGTGCTGTCAATTTCACTTTCCTGAAGTGAGCTACATTCAAATAGTCTTAATCTAGGCAGTATAATAAAGGTTGATAAAAGAAATTGTCAAAATTGAACTCGTATCTAGTGTGCTTCAGCACCGCATCTGTGTGTATATTTGTTATTTCTGCATAATTTAACGACAACCGATTTGGATGAAATTGATAGTAGTAATTAAATTCGACTAAAGATGGCACTGTATATACTGATATAATACTAGCGACTCACCCTCGCTTCGCTCGGGTCCGTCCTTAGCTTAATTCCCCATACAAACTTTTATACCTATTTTCACCCCCTTAAAGGATGATTTCCGGGATAAAAAGTATCATACGTCCGTTTAAGGGTCTCAAACTATCTTCTTACCAAATTACATCTAAATCGGTTCAGTAGATCCAGAGATTACCCCCTACAACGTCACAAACTACCTCTATAATATTAGTATAGATAAAGAAAAATACTCTTGGGGACTTGCCCAAATGAAGCGAGCCTCAGTTAGAATGTAATATTTAAAAAAAAAAAAATAATTTCAGGTAAAAAAGTGACTCCAAGCACAATAAAAAATCTAGTAACAAATCCGACACCACAGAGAATAACGAATAAAATCTACATGACAGAGAAACTTGCTCACATTGCGAACGTGTCCACTGTTCTGGAACATTCTAACTTAACCGCCTTCAAGACTAGAAGACGATCCGGCTTTCCCTGCTTTTACTGTAGAAGGATATACGAAAACTTCGACATTTTAAGAGACCACCAATACAAAGACAGATGCAAAGCAAATTTGAAGAAGATGCTCTCAAAATCGATCATGGAAAGACTCGTCGTATATGTGCATATAACAGAAATCAAGTGCACAATTTGCGATCAAAACCAAGCGAATTTAAACGAATTGAAGGCGCATTTGACGAAAATCCACAAGAAAAAGCTTCACCCGGAATACGGAGATAGAATAATACCGTTCAAATTGACTAAAACGAATGAATATGAATGCCAGTCTTGCGGTTTTAACTTCGAAACTTTCGGTGCGATTGAGAGACATATGAATGTCCACTATAGGAATTTTGTGTGCGATCAGTGCGGTGCGGGATATGTGACGCAAAGTCGGTTGAAAGTCCATTTAAAGTATTCTCATATACAGGGTGTTTTTCCGTGTGAAATTTGCAACAAAGTGTTCAACACTCAGTATAAACACAAGTGCCATGTGGACGCAGTGCATAGAATGGTGAAGAAAAATAAGTGTCCGAAGTGTCCAGAACGGTTTACGGATTATTTTGACCGACATCAGCATATGGTGGAAGCTCATGGAGAACAACCTTTAAGATATCGGTGTAATGTATGTGATACAGTGTTCAAACGACGCTACGCATTATCACTTCACATGAAACGAAGGCATCTGGAAGTGAAAGAGAAGGAGTGCAGTCTTTGCAGTTACAAATGCCACACCATTGCAGAATTGAAAGCGCATATGGTAAAACATAATGGGAAGAGGACGTACGAGTGTATGGTGTGCAAAAAGTCTTACGCCAGAAAGAAGACTCTAAAAGAACACATGCGGATCCATAATAACGATCGACGTTTCGTCTGTGTTGTCTGTGGTCAGGCGTTTGTCCAAAATTGCAGTCTCAAAGGACATATGAAAGCTCACCACTCAGATTATATAAATGGGTTGCCGAGAAGTTAGAAATCGTTGGGTGTTATTCGTTGTTGTTGTCTTTCAAGTAGGATCCTGGTGAATGGTGGTGGTGTTGGAAATACCACCTAATGGTATGAAGTTGATGTTGGAAAAGAGATTTTACACCAGTTCATCACCTTCTGTCCAATGTATGAGGAATAATCCAATGATAATATTCTCCTGATCGAATTTGGTCATGGCTGCCAATCTCACCGAAACTATAGTGCGGGAGATATTATAGTACACAAGTATAGGTGCAGACATCAGTGTTCTTTCTATGCCTATCACACTCAAAGTCCGATGGGACGATACTTCGACACTGAGAGTTCAGGTGCAGGACTAACGCACTTGCTCTCCGGGTGTAAAATAGTTTTTGGCAAAAAATAACAGCAAAATACATAAGCGAATGTACAAGATAGATGGAGGTTATTTTGGATCCAAGCTTCTATAGAAAAGCATTCATATCTTATAAAATAAATTAAATTAAAAAAGTTTTGGATGTATTATTACTAAATTCCATTTATATGTCCAGATAATCTATACATAAATTGAAATAGACATTATTATCGATACAGAGGCCGAATCTATAGTTTTTAGATTTTTTGTCTGTCTGTTACCGCATCACAGAAAAACCACTGAAGGGATTATGATGAAATTTGGTATGATGATAGCTGGTTATCCGGGTCAACATATAGGATACTTTTTATCGCGGGAAAATATCTCATTTCTGAGAAAAAGTACAAAAACTGCAATGTAAGAGTATACTAATATGTAAAACCTAATAATTTGGTTTTTGGTTATCTGAACGCGGGCGGAGCCGCGGGCAATGCTAGTAAATAATACTAATATATATGAAGTAAATGTAAATTTTGGAACCATCGAATGTCTGGAACACATCTACTGTAGATGTCAACATTTATCTTTAAGAATAACAGTAAAAATGATTTTTTTGGGTATCTGTAGGAAAATATGGATAGATAAATAAAACTCACTTTATTACTAATATATTATTATTTATACTATCACAAAATCTATTTATAATTAGACAAAGACAAAACAGTACTGAGTTCAGTACATTTTTCTCATGTGTGTGTTTTCTTTTTATTTGTTTTTTATATAGATAAGTAAATTCTTTATTATCATTGACGACACACAATAAATTATGTGATGACACGTTTGGCTCAGTTATTACTTGCTGTGCCAATGGTCGCGTGTTCGAGTCCCGCAGGCAGCGTTTATTTGTGTGATGAGCACGAATGTTTGTACTCCAGTCATGGGTGTTTATATTTATTATGTATGTATTTAAAGTTATATAATATGTGTAGTGTATCAACTATCTGGTATCCATAACACAAGCCTCGTACCTGACCATGGAACTAGATGGTGCTGTGTGTTAATGTCCCAACATATTTGTCAATTATATTATAATTTATGTTTTCCTAAAATTTTCAACAATATGATTTATGGTCGAACATTGCGAATATTACTCAATATTAAACTTTTAATTTACATTGGAACAAAAAACACGCAATCAGTAGAATTCTGTACTTATTAATAATTATAAATTAAAAATCTACTACGAAAATTGTCATTTAACGATTACACTGGCACGTGTGAAGCACTTAATCAAGTAATCATACGCCAAAATGCCATCATCATAATGATAATGCCATAATCATTTTGGAAAAGAGCTGATTCTCTTACACTGCTGGACGGATATTAACCAAACATAGCTAAGAACCACCGCAAGGAAACTGGCTTTCAAATAAAAAAAACCGCATCGAATTCCGTCCATCCGTTGAGAGGTACGATGCCATAGACAGACACACACACAGACATCGACGTCAAACTTATAACACCCCTAATTTTGCGTCGGGGGTTAAAAACTTTATTCCACGCAGAACACGTCTCGTATTTGCAGATGAAAATTGAAATAAAATTTATTTTAAAATAAATTATTTCTGAGAAGTTGATGTTATGCTTTTTATTAAACCCTTTATTTTATTTGTACAAAAAATTTTATTATTAAAGGTATTTTTGTGGATATTTGGACAAGGTTTTTTTCCGGATCATCTAAATTCTAAAGGAACCTGTTTTATGATTTTTTTACCTTAATATTTAACTATCTAAACCGATGGAGTACAGATAACTCATTTCTTATAATATTTAAATCATTCTTTAAACAAAGAAGCTTGAAGACATCTATACAGATAAATAAAATTGAAGTGTCTGTTTGTAATGTCAAAATAACAGCTTTTTAATAAATGCATATGGATGTATACACGGTATATGTACTAAAACAACATTTTTTACAATTTTTGTCTGTCTGTCTGTTTGTTCCGGCTAATCTCTAAAACGGCTGGACCGATTTTGACGGGACTTTCACTGGCAGATAGCTGATGTAATAAGGAGTAGCTTAGGCTACTTTTGTTTTAAAAAAGAAAAATAGGGTCCCACAAAAAATAATTAAAACCAATGAGGAATTTAATAATATCCGATTCAAATAGGGATGTTGTATACATACCGTACGTAGTTTATATTATTAAACAACTAAGTTTAGAAAACAAAGCCGAATAGAATACAACATGAACATATGCAAATTAATGCCATAATAATGGCTAATAGAACTCACCGTAATTAACAAATATAATAAAGCTAAAATTCAATAAAACAAATATGTAATTTCGTAAGCCAAGCACTAAATAAACTACGAACCGTCATATATTAAACTAGCATTACCCGCGTTCAGATGACCAAAAACCAAATTCTTAGGTTGTACATATTAGTATACTCTTACATTGCAGTTTTTTTGTTCACCAACAAATGTACAGCTTTCTGGTGTACTGTTAAAGCTCTTTGATTAGAATATTTCCTATTGCAATATTTACAGTTTATTACCAGCGGATTGACTCCATGCTTTTCGACTTCATGATCATTCTTCTTGGTATAATCTGTGAACTTTTCTCCGCAAAAACCACATTTGTTCCTTCTATTCATGTATATATGGACAGCTTTTTCATGTTCAATTTTTCTAACTTTCGTCACAAAATTTTTACTGCAAAACTTACAAGAAAAATGACCAGTTTCATGTCTGTAGACATGTCTTTTCAAAGTCTTCCGTGTAACGAAACTAGCGCCACAAACTTCACACATACAATTTTCAAAATGGCTGTTCATATGCTCGGTCAGGACTTTGAAGTTATTGAATATCTTCTTACAAATGATACATTTTAATACATCAGCGTCAAATTTAAAAGGAATTATATAATTATTGGCACTTCTATTGTATTTTTTGTTGTGCTTTTCTTGTAAATGTTCAGTCATATCCTGGATGGTTGGTGCGGGAGTATCACAGATAGTGCATTTCAAATCAGTTATGTCTAATTTAACTGAAAAATCGTATATGGACACACCAGACATGAAATAAGCTTTAGTTGACGCTGTGTGTTGTTGTGAGTGTTCTTTAAGTTCAGCTGGACTTTGGTATTGGTTAGGGCAGAAGCAGCAAGTGTATCCGAGACTTGATCTCGAACGGATGGGGGTCGCGTTTGTATTGAGAAGGATCGTCGAAATATTTTCCTGGTAAATGCTGACATCAGACTCTCTCTTGGCAACAACTCTCAAATTTGGGGCATCTGTTTTCTTTAATATAATTATCCTTTTCTTCTTACCTGCAGATGACAACATGTTTGAAATTAGAAATCAACAATTTTTTGTATAAAAGATTGTTTTATCATAAGATTAAATAAAAAAAATATATGTATGTGTGTATGTGTGCAATTCACACACGGTAGAAGTGAAACTTCAGAAAAAGAACCTACGAGAGAATGAGATGAATATAGAATATCAGGAGTGGGATAATTGTAAGGTTTTTTTATAATATTTTCACCAAGTTTATAAAAAAATATCCAGGATAAAAAGTATCCTGTCCTTCCAGGTAAGGATTGTGAGTTTGTGACGTTGTAGGGGGTAACCTCTGGATCTACTGTACCGATTTAGATGAAATTTGGTAAGAAGATAGTTTGAGACCCTGGGAAGGACATATAATACTTTTTAGCCCGGAAATCATCCCTTAAGGGGGTGAAAATGGGGATGAAAGTTTGCATCTTGAATCAATCTAGGGACGAACCCAAAGGAAGCGAGAGTGAGTCGCTAGTATTATATATTTAGGTAAAACAATTTTGAAAAACGGTTCTCCTTAGCATAAAACAGAAAAAAAAATCCGTTACCTGAATCAAGTAGGTAAATCCTTTTATCAAGTCTGAAGTCAAGGAAACTATATCTATACATATAATAAAACTAAGTCGAATCTGTACCTTAAATATATTTTTGGAAAATCTTATTGAAATATACATTATTATCGATACAGAGTCCGAATCTATAGTTTTTAGAATTTTTGTCTGTCTGTCTGTTACCGCATCACGAGAAAACCACTGGACAGATTTTGATGCAATTTGGTATGATGATAGCTGATTATTCGGGTATAGGACTTTTAGTACTTTTTAAAATTTGGGGTTAAAAAGGAAAACCAATTATAACAACAATAAATCTTTATTTAAATAGAACAATAAAACTTATAACTAAAGTCTGATTCACATAATACTTTCTTAGATTTACGCGAATATTTGACATTTTAAATAAAACTATCTTTTCGGATTTTGTCGCGGATAAAGTCTGATTTTTAATTCCACGGAAATATGACAGTTGTCATTCTTTGACAATTCAGATATCATAAACCTTTTCTGCTTTATATTTTTTCTAATTGAAACCTTAACTTCAAGAAAGGTTTATTTTTTATTTTGCTAAAATGCTTTCCGTTTTAAGTGACAATGTTTCAAAGCTGACAACACTTCTGAAATGTCAGAATTCCGTCGAATTCAAAATCAGACTATATGTACTTTTGAGGTTGTCAGTGTTCAAAAATAAAATGACAAATATTACGTTTTTTTTGCATCTATCAATTATTTAAAAATATGAGACCAAGAATATCTTAAATTGAGAGTTTTAATTTAATTAATTATGTACTTTTCGGACATGTTCCCTCAACGTCTTCTGCCTCCCATAGGTTTTAAAGCAGGAGTCACACTTGAACTCCCTAGACCCCGTGTGTTTTACCATATGACTTTCCAACTCCCTCTTCGCGTAGAACTCCATTTCACAATGCTGGCACTTGTGGGGTCTTTGCATGAGGTGGACTCTTGAAGTATGCAACCTCCACGCATGCTTCGTTTCAAAACTTTTGTCACACGCTTGACAATTTATCCCTGGACTTTTCACTCCATGAATTTTAAATAAATGCTCTTGTTTTTTCCAAACCTCTTTAAATCTTTCCATACAATAACCACATTTGTGCGGTAAATTTACTCCGGAGTGTTTAGATCTATCATGAAGCCTTTTCTTTCTAGCTGTATCGAAAGTTCTAGAACACTCTTCGCAAGTAAAAGTGCCAATTTTGTGAGCATCGCCATGTCTTAAGAGGATATTCTTATTAACAAAGCCTGCACCACAGACCCCGCAAAGATAATTATTGTAATGCACATTCATATGTTCTTGTAGAGCTTTGAAGGAATTGAAGACGTTCAAGCACATAAAACAACTGAGAGGTCCACTGCCAAACTTGAAAGGTATTATATGGTCTTTTATATCCGTGTAAAGCTTCTTATCATGACTGAGTTGGAGATGATTGACCATTTTCTCTATATTATCTATGCTTTGACCACAGAGTTCGCATTTTAAGTCGGTAATATCTAATTTTACGAAATAGCCATGCATGTCTTTGCCTTTCATAAATATAGATTTTTCGTCCACGCTGTGAGAATCTCGTGTGTGGTTTTTCAAGTCTTTTGCTTCAGGGAACTGTTCGACACAGAAGCAACAAGCGTATCCGATACCTCCTCGACATCGAATCGGTGTAGCGTTTGTATTTAAAAGTATTTCTTTTATGTTATTTTGATGTTTTTCTACTTCTGCTACGCCATTTGCTTTTCTTGTGATAGTGATGCGAATAGTTTTGCCTCTTCGAATTTTCTTTTCCAGTTTAATTGGCGTTCGTTTTTCGTTTTCTTTCAGGTCACCTACAACAAATAATTATTATTATCCACCACCCTGCTGTTCCATAACGAAGTATTCGAAAATCTACTTACAGAATATACAATAAGAGTATCGGTGTTAGCTCTAACGAGCTATAAAAACCGCATCAAACGAAAACATCTGCTAGTTTTCGTTCATGAATTTCTTAAATATAGTCTACATTATCTAAAAAAATATATCTTTATTTCATACTAGTTGAGAACACAAAAAATATGATTTTGTTTTATTTCATTGTCAAATAATAAGATTAAAACAAAATATAACAATACTTCACTTCGCCTATCATTTTTTACCTCAACTCTAATATTTTCATTAAATATTTTTATTAACTGAATCGTAAACCCAAAACTTTGCAGGTCTATGTGTTTGATAAAATTATCTATATCTATTAAACACAAAATCTTAATACACAAACATAATTCTGGCAACCCAATAAACTCAAAGAAAAAAATTGCAATAAAACAATACGTTTTAAATCGCCTTTATTCATCTAAAACTATAAAACTATACTTCTTCCCCATGCTTCGATCTCATGTGGCTCTTCCAACTACACTTCTGTACAAAGGCCTGCCCACAATGAGAACAGGCGAATCGGCGGTCATCGGCATGTATCCTCATATGTTCCCGCAACGTATTCTTCCTACCATACATTTTAAAGCAAACCTCACATCTAAATTCACGCAAACCCGTATGTTTTGCCATGTGACGTGACAAACTGCTCTTGCTAAAAAATCGCATCTCACATTCCTCACACTTATGTTTCTTCTCCATCAGATGGTCTTTCTTCGTATGTCGCGCTAACGCCCTCTGGTTTAAGAAAGTACGTTCACACGCTTGGCATTTCAAGACTACTGGTGGCGCACCATGCACTTTCACCATATGGTCCACTTTCCTCCAATAATCCATAAATCTTTCATTACAAACCATGCATTTGTTTCGTTTGTTGAACCCTAAATGTACACGTTTCTGGTGCTCTTTCAGTCTTTCACTATTTCCAAACACTTTGTTACATTGCTCACATTTAAATTCCCCATTGTTATGTCTCCTGATGTGAGTCGCTAAGAGGCGCTCAGTCACAAACCCTCTGGAACATATATGGCATATGTGAGTACCAAAATGTGTGTTCATATGCTCTTGTAAAAGTTTGAAGTTGAGATATTCCGTCGCGCAAATCGTGCATTTTAACTGTGGTGTGTCAAATTTAAAGGGCAGTATTGAGCTTCTGAGGTTAGTGTGTATTTCTTTCTTGTGCTCAGTCTTTAAATGGTTCATAAAATCATCAAGACTAGCCATGTCCGTGTTGCAAAGAGCGCAGTTCAAATACGTGATATCCAATTTGACGACATGTTCGAACAGCCTAGATGTCATGTACTTAATCAGTCTATCACTGTTGTGTTCTACTAAGAAATGTTTTTTAAGGTCAGTCGGCTCTGGAAACTGTTCAGGACAAAAAGCACACCCGTATCCGAGGCTGTCTTTTGATCTGATGGGATTTGCATTGGAGTTGAGTAATATAGTTATAAGATTTTGTTGGTTTTTCCTGGCTTCAGTCTGCCTGGGCTTCTTACTGCCGCGTATGATCTTCAACTCGACTCGTGGCGTCTCTGATTGCCTTTCAATTTTAATCGTTCTCATACCTATAAAGAGAAATTTTTATTTAATAAACTAATTGTTTTACCGTAATGTTATTCTATTTTGAAATAAATTATACAAAGACAAAAGTATGAAAAATTATACTTATTTTCATTTAGAGATAGTGTTTTATTCTTTATTGTAAACGAGTTAGTAAGAAATAATCCTAATGTAAATTTTAGAGTCCTTGTATAAGAATATGAAGTAATAGATACAAATATGTCTAGACCTGCAAAGTATAAACTATTATTATTATATTAATTATGTTTTTTTTTGACTAGAGGTAATCACTTTGAATAACCAATTTGTGTAAAAATAGAATTTATTATGTACAAATACAATAATTTCATTAACTAGATTCATCATCATATAATATTATGTATAGAAAACTATACTGAACATAGTTATTGCACAGAATTTAGGATTTCTCCATGTTTAGCACTGATATGACACTTCAATGCGAAATTTTTATCAAAAGACTGATCGCAGTGAGAACACTTATAATAACGGTCTTCTGGATGCTGTCTCTTCACATGTTCCTTCAAAGTCTTCAATCTTCCATATGACTTCTTGCATATTTCGCATTTAAACTCCCTTGTGCCTGTGTGTTTGACCATGTGGTCAGTTAGTTCCCGTTTTGAAAAGAAGGCCATATCGCATCTCGTGCAGCCATGCTGCTTTTGCATCAAATGATATTTCTTCATGTGCAACAACCATGTTTGCTGCAATGTGAACGTTTTGTCGCACGCTTGACACTTTATAGCCGGTCCAACAACTCCATGGACTTTGGCTAGATGTTCGTTTTTGTGACAATTCTCCCTGAACCTCTCGCTACAGTAACCACATTTATGGGGCATGTTCAAGCCGTTATGAATCTTTCTTTCGTGTAATTTCTTCTTTCTTACAGTGTCGAAAATTTGATCACATTGCTTGCAAGCAAATGTGCCAGTCTTGTGGCCTTCATTGTGACACAGCAGCAGATGGCGATTGACGAAACCAGCGTCACACACTTTGCAAATATAGTTCCTGTAATGTGTATGCATGTGTTCTTGGAGAGCTTTGAATCTGTTAAAAAAATTGTGGCAAAGGAAACATCTTAGAACTTCACTGTCAAACTTGAAGGGTAATATATGATTGGGTATGTCTGTACTAATATTTTTGTTATGAACATTTTTTAAATGGTCGAGGACGTTTTCCAGAGTTTCTAGTTTTGTATCGCACAGTTTACACTTTAAGCCTGTAATATCTAATTTGACTAAATATCCGTACATATCCCGTCCTTTCATGAATATTGCTTTAGCTTTTTCGTCATGATCGTTCATCGTATGTTTTTTCAAGTCCGCGGGATCTGGGAATTGGTTAGTACAGAAACAGCACGCATAGCCGATGCCTCCTCGACACCGTATCGGTGTGGCATTGGAACATAGTATAACCTCTCTCACATTGTTGCGATGTTTTTCTAACTGTTCACCTTGTCTAGCTTTAGGCGTAATATGATCTTTTATTATATCTTCAACAGAATCGTCATCTTCCTGAGATAAGTTCGATGTTTTTGTTGGTCTGAGAGATTTACCTACAAAGAAAATTATAAATTATTGTTACTGTATACCTATGCAATAGTAAAACACTATAAAATAGATATAATTTATTTAATATTTATTTACAAACCTTTGATTTGGTTTATAGTTTATTTTATGTTACAAAGCCACATTTTGGTTTTCATTAATTTGTCATGCATAAATAAAAATAATAATTTCATATATCTATAATGTTTATTTTTATTTTTTAAACAAAACAGTTAGATTGTACGCTAGAATCAAATCAAAATAACAATAATTATTTTATTATATTATTTATGAATTATGATACAACAGTAATTAATAGTTATTAGACTTTATCCTCCATCATCACAAACGAAAATATTCGCACTCTAAAACTTTACAAAGTAAAAAATTTAACAAGCTATGCTTGCTCTCCATGCTTTGACCGCATATGGGTGCGCCAACTACACTTCTGCACGAAAGCCTGTCCACAGTGTTCACACTTGAACCGTCTATCATCCGCATGTATCCGCATATGCTCGTGCAGAGTCCATTTTCTGGCATAAGACTTCATACAAACATCGCACTGATATTCCCTTTGCCCTGTATGCTTCACCATATGAGCTCTCAGCTCCGAGGTAGAAAAAAAGCCTTTACCGCATTCCGGACACTTATGTGGTCGCTCCACCAGATGATGTCGCTTCATGTGAATCATCAAAGTATTTTGATGGACAAAAGTTTTATCACACGCTTGGCATTTCCTAGCAATCGACGTGACGCCATGCTCCTTCACCAAATGTTTGTCTTTCTGACGATTGTTCTTAAAAAATAGGTTACAAAACCCACATTTGTTCACTAGCATCGCCTTATCGTGGTACTGCCTTTCATGACACCGTTTTTTGGTGAACGTGCTGAACACTTTTGAGCACTGACTGCAAGAGAATGTACCAGTCAGATGTATCACCTTATGATGATAAAGTTTCCTTCGATTCACGAACCCAGCATCACACACGTCACACATATAATTCTTATAGTGAATATTCATGTGCTCCATCAATTTTTTGAATTTGTTAAATATATTTTTACACATGTAACACTGTAGAAAGTCATTTTCAAATTTAAAAGGCAACATTTGGTGGGTTATGTCATCGAATATACGTATAATGTGATCGTTCTGTAAATGATCGATTAGATTCTCGATAGATTCTATATTTTGCTCGCATAATTGGCATATTAGTGATGTGATGTCCAATTTAACACATACTTTATTCAAATCATTTGGCAATAACTTTTCTAAATTATTAAGATCCAAATAAGGTGTATGAAAATCCAAAGTATGTTTTTTTAAGTCTGCCGGGTCTAGGAATCGGTTGAGACAAAAACTGCAACCGTAACCATTATCGGTGTGGTCATGTATGGGTGTCGCGTTCGAGTTTTGCAATATCTGTATAGCATTGGCTTTGTGCTTTCGTAGTTCGGCTTGGTAGTCGGTTAACTTTTTCATCGGAACCATTTTTACTTTTTTCCTTTTTTTCTCTTCTTTTACTTTAATCTGTATAACTGTCGACTGTGATTTGACGATTCTTTTACCTACAAAGAAAATATCGTATTATTTCATTTGAGCAGTATCTAATTTAATTAGACAGCAAAGCGTTGCCTATGCCACAATTTCATTGAGCGAATGATCTGTTTTAATTGTTCCATTATAACAAATTAGAGATTGCAGGTAGACATAGATAAGATCCCGATGAAAACCATAAAAAATTGAAAATCAAAATAACATTACGTAAAATAAATTTATTTATATTAAATTATAAACATATAAATTACAACCAATTAAGTACAAAAACTATATACACTACACTGTTTCCCCATGCTTCGCTCGCATGTGACCTCGCCAACTGCACTTTTGTACGAACGTCTGACCGCAGTGCTCACACTTGAACCGCCTATCATCTGCATGTATACGCAAGTGTTCTGTTAACGTTTTCTTACGACCGTACGTCTTATGGCATATCTCACATTTAAAGATCTTAAGACCTGTGTGCTTAACAATGTGATTTTTTAATTCAGAAGATGAGAAAAAACTCATATCACATTGGGGACATTTATGCCTTCTATCCATCAAATGTAATCTTTTTACATGTATCGTATGATCCTTTTGGTTTGCAAACGTTTTATCGCAAACCAGACATTTTAGTGCTTGAGCGACGATACCATGCACTTCAGCCAAATGCCGTTCTTTTTTCCTGTAATCTCGAAACTTTTCATAGCAGTAGCCGCATTTATTTAAAGTAGTCGAATGTGTATGCACGCACTTTTCATGAGATCGCTTTTTTCTAAATGTATCGAAAATTTTTGGGCAATAATCACAGTTGAAAGTGCCAAGTTTATGACATTTGGAGTGTTGAGCGAGAATTGCCCGGTTGACGAAACCAGCACTACACACTTCACAAATGTAATTTCTGCAATGCATATTCATATGTTCTAGTAGAGATTTAAATTTATGATACACGTTCATGCATATGAAACATCTAAGCCTTTCATTGTCGAATTTAAATGGTAGTACTTGGTTCTTGATGTCCATAAACACAGTCTTTTTGTGTTCCTCTTTAAGGTGCCGCACTAACTCTTCCACTGTATTAATACTTGAGTTGCATAAATTGCATTTAAGATCAGTTATATCTAGCTTGGCGTGGAATTTGAATAAGTCTTTGCCTTTCATGAAATTAATTTTAGTTTTCTCATCATGTATTTCAAGAGTATGCTTTTTTAAATCTGCAGGCTCTGGGAATTGTTGAGTACAAAAGCAACAATTGTAGCCGAAAACGCCACGACACCGTATTGGCGTTGCGTTAGAGTTCAATAATATCTCTCTCATGTTGATCTTGTGCTTTTCCAATTCCCCACCCTTTTTTAATGCCGGCTCTTCCCGTTTAAAATCTTCGTTTCTATGAATTTGACATCTTCGCAAACCTATAAAGAAAAGTATATATTACTTTAATGAATGTCTTCTTCAAATTGATGCTTAGCCATTATTTTACTTATTCTAACGTATATCTTCTGAACTCATCATCATCTAATATTCCTCATTAAAATGTTACTTTCTTTTACAGGCTGCGATAATATTTAACAAAAAACAACATCTTCAGTATACTTTAATACCTTAAGAGTTAGTTAGCTAATGTGTAACAAATAAATCTGACGAATATACAAACAAAATATCAGACAATAGTTTAATATGATACTTTTAATGTATAGATGTCTAATTTAGACTTGGCTCATCATGTTTAGTCTGCATATGACGTCGCCAACTACACTTTTGCACAAACGCCATCCCACAATGTTCACATTTGAAACGCCTATCATTATTATGAATACGCATGTGTTCACGCAACGTGTGCTGCCGTCCATATCTCTTAAAACAAACTTTACATTGAAAACTACGAGTTTTAGTATGAGTGACCATATGCTCTGCCAAATTTTTCTTAGCAAAAAATGTCATTTCGCACAGAGTGCAGTGGTGTTGGTTTTCCATCAAATGGTGACGTTTTATATGTTTCCTTAAGGAATCTTTGTTACAAAAACTCTTTTCGCACGCTTGGCACTGAGCTGTTTCACATCCTACACCGTGAACAATTCTAAGATGTTCTGCTTTCGTTCGATAACCAGCAAATTTTTCATTGCAATAGCCACATCTATTCAGTTTATATGCGTGTATATGAACAGCTCGAAAGTGCTGATTCTTTTTTTGAGCATTATCAAAAACTTTATCACATTGATCACATTTAAATTCACCGACAACGTGAGATTTTTGATGGTTCAAATACGATCTACGATTGAAAAATCCGGCACCACATTCACATATAAAATTCCTACAATGCTTATGCATATGCTCTAGCAGCATCTTGAACTTAGTGTACACGTTTGCACAAACAAAACATTTTAGTTCTTCACTATCAAACTTAAATGGAACCATATGGTTCTTTACATCCGTATATATTTTCCTGTCGTGCTCAGTTTTTAAATGATCGATCAATTTGTCCAAATCTTCGATATTTGTTCTGCATATATTACATTGTAATCCAGTTATGTCGACTTTGACGTAAAATTTTTGTAGATCCCTTTTTTGGAAGAAAGTAGGTTTAGGCGCATCTCTGTGCACATCAATTGTATGTTTTTTTAAGTCTGCAGGATCTGGAAATTGTTGTGTGCAATAGCAGCACAGGTAGCCGAGGTCACTTTTACCATGGATCGGTGTAGTGTTAGAGCATTGGAGAACCTCTTTTATATTGTGATGATGTTTTGTCAATTCCTTTATAGGTTTTAGCTTAATCTTTTTAGTTTTTATAGTTATTTTAGCTTTTTTTCTAACTACGGTTTCAGATTCGGTTTTTATCCTTCTTTTTCTATTATTTTTATTATCATTGTCTATGTCTTCGAAATTTATACTTTCGGATGGTTCACCTAAAAAGAGAAATATTGTTACTGTATTTTTGCAACGGGGTGTCGACTTAGTTATAAAACTAAACTATCAATACGTATCATAAAACTTGCTTACTTATTTAGTATGTGAAAATCCCTATACTTTATATATTTGAGTTGAAAATATGATTTAAAAAACTAAGAACGCAAACTGTCATCATAGATAATAAAATAAAACAAAAGTTAAAATACTTAAATAAATATATTTTAGACATTTATTTATAACATTTCCAACTAAATATAGATAATTATATAAGATCACTGACGTCATCCGATTCACTTATGACCAAGTATCGATCCGGGGATGTCCTAGAAGTTTTACGTTCCTTGGAGTGCACTCGCATATGCTGTTGTAAAGTAAATTTTCGTGCGAATGATTTTGCACATACACTGCAATGAAAATCTCTCTCTCCCGTGTGTTTTAGCACATGTTTTCGCAAATTCTCACTACTAAAGAACTTCATATCGCACACTTCACATTCGTAATTCCTCTCCATCAGATGATCCTTTCTAACGTGCCGCCTAAACTGATTTTGATTGATGAACGTCTTGGCACAAAGTTCGCATTTAAGGATAACGAGATTGACACCATGAAATTTTACTAAATGATCATTTTTCTTATTGTAATCATCAAACAGTTCATTACAGTAGCCACACTTCCTCGTCATGTACAATCGTTTGTGGACAATGTTTATATGGGACTGTTTCTTGACACGAGTGTTGAATGTTTTTGGACAAAAATCGCAAGTGAAATCGCCTGTCTTATGAATCCTCAAATGACTTCTGAGAATATCGCGATTAACAAACCCCGCGCCGCACACATCACACACATAATTTCTGAAATGTGTATTCATATGTTCTGTTAAATTTCTAAATTTGGCAAATTTCTCGGAACATATAGCACACTTCAGTTGATCATCGTCAAACTTAAATGGCACCATATGATTTTTAATATCTGTGTATATAACACGCTGATGGTCATTGATTAGATGGTCCATGAGTTCTTCTATGGTTGGTATATCTGTTGAACAAAGCGCACAGTGCAAAGCTGTTACGTCTAACTTCACTGTGTAAATTCGCATATCTGCAATAACTTTTTTAATACTATCTTCGTCATGAACTTCTATTGTATGGCTCTTTAAGTCAGCAGGTTTTGGGTATTGGTCGGAACAAAAAGAGCAACCGTAGCCTATATCTCCTTTAAAACGAATTGGCGTAGCATTGGAATGGAATAATATTTCAAGCATATTATTTCTATGTTTTTCTACTTCTTGCATACATTTATCATCATCTATACTTGTTTTAGTTCTTTTACGTTTCTTCTTAGACGTTTTATCATTGGTTTGTTGTAGGTTTTGAAGCATTTCCTGTGCTTTTTCTCCAGATACGATGACTATTTGCTGTCGAGAACCTACAAAGAAAAGTTTAATTGTTGAATTTATATTTCTTATCTGTTAACGGCATAATTTTTAATAGTCCAACACGTACTTTCGTATTTTTTACTTGGGTTTCACAGGTATACCATCATTTAAAGATCAAATTACTCATTATATAACAACTTTATCATTTTTTCAAACTAGTAATTTTCAATAATAAAATGTATTTAGTTTATGCAACTTCTAGATCCTTTGAGAATATCACTATATTATAAAAATAATATAGAAAATCATGAAAATAAATAGAATCGCAATTGCTATAAATAAGGTTTTTATCAAAATAATAGTTATGGCAGTGTAGAACTATAAACTTTAAACTAAAAAGTTCATAAAGTAATACTGTTTTTAAAGTTATCTGTGTATAAAACGTTATATCAGTGTAAAAATCTCTTAATTTTATAACTCACCGAAATAACATAACAAATACAGTAAATATGCTAAAAAAATGTATTAAAATAAATAAAACTAAAGGCAAAATTTCTTATTATTAGGACTTTATTTAAAATAAATGGCAACACTTGAAACTATTAACTAAATGATAAAATTACAGTTTTAGAGTAAAAACAACAACTAAAAACTTATAGGACCGTAATAACAATTACAGATTAACCAACCCCCATAGTTTGAACTGACATTTACAGTACAAAATATGAATATGACATTAAGTTAACCTCTTAACGATGGTTTAAACTATAATTAATACTGCGGCCCTTAGGGATACAATTTTAAATTTCTATCCCGTGCTTTGCCCGCATATGGCCGCGCCAACTACACTTCTGCACGAAAGCTTGTCCACAGTGATCACACTTGAACCGCCTATCATCCGCATGTATCCTCAAATGATCCCGCAAAGTCGACTTTCGTCCGTACGTCTTAAGACATATGTCGCATTGAAACTCTCTTAGTCCTGAATGCTTTAACAAATGGCATTTTAAAGTGTATCCACAATAAAAAGTTTTATCGCATTCGATGCATTTGAACCTTCTCTCCATTAGGTGGTCTCGCTGCATATGTACTCTGTAGGCTTTTCTGGTGGGAAAAGTTCGGTCACACGCGTTGCAGTTATACTGGTTCCTTATGTTATGGACGGTTATCAAATGTCTTTGCTTTTGATTATAGTCTTTGAAAGTTTCATTGCAATGGCCACATCTATTTCTATTTTTGATTGGCTTATGGTTGGAAATTACATGCGATTTCCTCTTTGCCAACGTTGTAAATTCTTCAGGGCATATACCGCATTGGAAAACACCGGTTTTATGTTTCTCTGAATGAACTATAAGTCGCCTACGGTTGATAAAGCCAGCTTCGCACACAGTGCAGATATAGTTCCTACAATGTATATTCATATGCTCCAATAAATTTTTGAATTTATTAAATTCACTTGAACATATGAAACATTGTAAGGAAGACGTTTCAAATTTGAACGGTATCATGTGATTTTTGATATCTAGGAAAAGTCTTTTTTTGTGGTCTTCCTTTAGATGTATTATCAGTTTGTCAAGATCATCTAAATCTTGCTTGCAAATTTTGCAATTTAAACCTGTAATATCGACTTTTACGTGAAACTCATTTAGATCCCTTCGTTTAGTGAAGCTACTATTATTTATGCCATCATGGCTCTCCATAGTATGTTGTTTCAACTGAGCTGGTTCGGGGTATATGGCATCACAGAAGCAACAAACATACCCGACATCTGTTTGCTTTCGAATTGGCGTGGCATTAGACCAAGTGAATATTTCTTTAGCATTTATCAAATGTCTAGAAAGTTCGTAGTTGCCATGTCGAGTTCTGGGAATATTGTCTGTATTAGTTTTTGGGGTTAATTTTCGCACTAGCTTGAGTACCACACCTGTGACATTTGCTTTACTTTCAGGTCGGACACCTACAAAGAAAATTTTTACTTTACTTTTTGGTAATCTACCTTGAAAATACCTGCTAACCTGTAAATTGCATCTATTTTAGTTTCGTTGGTTGCAAATAAAATAAAAGTTCAGTTTAACAGAACTGTTGGTTTCAAGAAAAACTATACAACACGTCTAACTTTATAGTGTTCATTATAATCACTTATATTTATTGCATAATTGACACTATTTCGCCACTAAAACTTTATATATTTCTAGTAGAAATATATTTGTGCGAGAAATTATATAGATCAAAAAATTAATTACTTGGATTTTGCCACAGAGCATTCTTTAGCAATTACTGTAAAAATAGACGAATGAAACATACACCATTTATTATTGACAAAGACTTTACAACTACATAATATATTACTAGTTTATCCAATAGTCGAAATTCGAGCATAATTGTTGTTGAAAATTTGTTAAAAAAGAGTAATGCACTTACAAAACTTTTATATTGATAACACTAACTTGTTATTTTATACGTGTTTGATTGGCATTTGTGTTGTGGACCAATAAACATAAATAACACAAAAACCCGTCAATAGCTACAATAAAAAAAACCGGTTGAAAAACAGATGAGAAAAAGTTAATCAACTGTTTTGTCTTTGCCTATTTATATATAGATTTATTTTGTACTTTGTATATCTACTAATGAGGTATGAGTTATGTCGATCGTATTTTTTTTGTTTTTTTTTAAACAAACGCGTACCAAGACCAATAAAAGAGATGATAGGTTTAAATAAAATAAAAATATATCAATAAGAAGATAATATATTTTTAAAGGCTTTACACGAGTCTAGATTTTAAACTTAATAAATTCACTTAACGAGAATAGAGCTCGCAAGTTTCATGGAGGAGAAAGAGATTTATAATTCAGAGTGTCATTCAAAGTTAGACCATGGCCTAAATTAATACTTGTAGATCAAAAAAAATATTGTGATTTTTTTTAAATAGTCAATGTTGTAAAGTAATATATTCGGATCAAAATTCTCACACAAATAAAAAAATATAACGAGTGCTTTGCTTCAAGATAACCTAGAGAAAAATTCGAAAGTTTATCGGACATAGTTATTATTCTATGATTAATTAAAAAAAATATATACGAATATAGCAAACATTTTGCCATTTTTGGAAATTCGTTAAAACCTAAAAATAAAATCGATACCACGTTAATCGGAACCGAATATCTGCCTACACTTCACTTATCCGAACTAATCATTCGATTGTGAATCGATATTAGGGTATTTTGATCTTATGCTTCTTTCGCATATGAGATTTCCAACTGTACTTTTGTATGAACGCGTTATCACAGTGTTCACATTTGAACTTTCTCACGTTGGCGTGAATCTTCAAATGTTCACGCAACGTATTCTTTCTCGCGTAGGCCTTTTGGCAAATATCGCATTGGTAATTCCTTAGAGGGTTGTGCTTAACCATATGTTTCACCAACTCCATTTTCGTGTAAAACTTCATATCGCATTCTGCGCATGCGTGCGTGCATTCCATGTGAGCACGTCGGGTGTGACCCCTCAATCTGGCCCTAGTGCTGAACACTTTGTGGCATATATCGCATTTGGCCGACAAGGGCTCTGCGCCATGTTCCTCAACCATATGAGACCTCTTCTTCGCGTAGTTAGTAAATTTCTCCTGACAGTACGGACATTTCTTCCTTTTATAATCTCCTGCGTGCACGTATTTTTCGTGATTCAATTTCTTCCTGTTTGTGTCGAAGATTTTCGGGCACTGGCTGCAGGGGAAGTCCCCTTTTTTGTGGCGATTGTTGTGATTCTGCAACGTTCGTTTATTAACAAAAGGCGCGCTACACGTTTCGCATATATAATTCTGGTAATGAACGGGCATGTGCTCTTGGACCAATTTGAAGTGTTCGAACGTTTTTGGGCATTGTACACAGTCGAAACCGTTCGCAACGAATCTGAATGGGAGTATGTGATTTGGGATATCCGTGTGCATTGTCTTTCCATGCACGGTAGTAAGATGCTCGAATAGAGGATCAAAGCTTTCTATATCTTTGTGGCAGACGAGACATTTTAAGTCCGTGATATCTAGTTTGACCATGTAAGAGTTAAGGCGATTTCCTTCCATAAATGAAGACTTATCTATTTCGTCATGTTCATCTAGCACGTGCTGTTTCAATTCAGCTGGCAATGGATAAGTCTCGGGACAAAGTGCGCACACATAACTCGCACCATCATGGTATCTAATAGGCGTTGCATTTGTATTCAGTAGAATCGTACTTATATTATGTAAATGCTTTTCCATTTCGATAATTTGGTCTTTTTTAGTTTTCCTATCATTCCTTGGCAGTGTAGTTTTGTCTAACGGTTTAATCTCAAACGATAACGGCTCTATTTTGACGAAAGTTTGCATTTTTTGCGTCTCTTTGTCTTCGTAACTCTCATCATTGTCTGATGTCGGTTCCTGTTTGATTGTTATCTCTACATAGCTTGGCTCAGTCGGGACACCTACAAAGAAAAGCACTGAGTTAAAATTTTCATCTTGAGCACTGCTATCGCTATATTCAAAAATTCATGCTTTTCGTAATTCGCAGAATATATTAAGAAAATATGAATTCAAAAATATAGAAAGTATCTCTGTTTAATCAACTTATAACTTCAAATACTGTACAAATATTTACGTTACAGTTTCACCCAAATCAACTAACTGTGCGATAGAAATACTCTTAAGCCTGTAAAAAATAATTATATAGGCAAAATAAGCCATAAAACGACAGTTTTATCGCTACACTTTGAAGATAAGAGAAAATTCACGTACATCTCTTATAAAACTCGCGAGAAAAAATATATTATATATGTACTTCAAACAAAGGCATAACCATTAATCAATACCGTTTGGGTACAAAATAAAATTCCATGTACACCACAACATTTTATTACATTTCATATACACATAAATAATATCTTTATTTCTAGTTTGGCTTGACTACATTAGGCGGCAATATCGTGTTTTTGGAGATACCATGATTCTTTTTCATATGTTTCCTCCGACTATTTTGTGTGGCATACGCTTTTCCGCACACGTCACACTTAAATTTCCTCTCATTCGTGTGTGTTGCCATATAATGCCCTAACATATGTCTTTTTATAAAGAAACCCATACTACAAACAGAACATTCGTAGGGTCTCTCTTTGAGATGGACACTTCGCATGTGCAACACCAAATTCGATTTTAAATTGAATTTCTTATCGCACATATCACATTTGATGCCTTCTACGTTATGGACTTGCATCATGTGCCTTGTTTTTTGGTAATAATTCTTAAATCGAGCTTTGCATATTTGACACACGCTGTCACCAGCAATGCCTTTGTGTTCAGTGTTCACATGAGCTTTCTTCTTGGACTCAGCTGCAAACACTTGCCCACAGTGTCGACATGTGAAACTAGACTTCTTTTTTCCATGCGTTGTTTCATGCCTGTTCAGTCGGAAGCTGTTAACGAATCCCGCACCACAGATTGTGCAAATGAAGTTGCGGTAATGTACATTCATGTGTTGCATCAACAATTTCATGTTGTGAAATATCTCCCCGCACAGGCAGCAGTTCATCATTTGTTCGCGCGTCAGTTTGAACGGTTGGAAATAGTCTGTGACACCTAAATAATACTTTTTGTCGTGTTCTTTGACCAAATGCTCCGTTAAACTGTTGATACTCTCCATACTTTGCTCGCATATTGTACATTTTAGGTCAACTATGTCCAAAAAGGCTACAAAACTGCTCATGCCCGAGCCAGATTTGTATGTAGGTTTCTCTTTAACATGATCGAAGTGAGTGTGATGTCTGAGGACATTGGGATCGGGGTAGGTTTTAAAGCAATAAGCGCAAATATAGCCCGCATCGTTTCTATCCTTGAAGGGGGTTACATTAGAATATTTAAGCAGGGTGGTTAAGTTGTGCCATTGCTTTTGCATCTCACGTAATTGCTTTTCGCGATAAACTACTTTAGTTAGGACCTCACCCGCCCCGCTTTCCTCCATAAGAGTCCCTTTTCGTTTTTTTCGGGCTCCGGTAAGGCCTATAAAAGAAAAATAACGTGTGACTGGCCGTTCGTTTGAAACATATCGTAGCAACTAAAATTTCATGGTAAAAATCATATAAAATCTTACTGCAGAATATTCTAGAAAACTTCATTTACGTCTTCCAATTCAAAAACTAAAAAAAATCAATCGACCATGCATCACAGTTGAATATCAATATATATTTTAGAGCACGCTATTTAATATTCTTTATGTAACCATAACTTTTAATATCTATCATATTACATAATTTGGAAAAAATACAAATAAAAAGATTCCAGAGTGATCATAAAGCAGTTTATTTTTTAAACTCTTAATAATTATAATATAATTAAAAAATTCACAATGCGAGATCGAAAAAATAAATTGACGACAAATAAAAATATTACAATAGTAAAAATCACCGTTAAAACATTCAAAATGATTTATAGTCTATGGTTCCGAAAAAAAAGACGCAGAGGAGTTGATATAAGTAAATATGTAGATTAAATATCAAAAAAGAGCAAAACTATTTTTTTTTATAAATAATTCATTCAAATACAGTACAAGAGATAAGTGTCATTACCTAAGTATTTGAACCATGAAATATTATTTAAAAAAAAAAGTAGACAATCTCCTGTATTCCTTACAAAGACCTTATACACCACAGACTCATTCTAAGGAATAATATAGACAGTGTCATAGAACTAAACATGGAAGCCAAACAATGTTTTAAAATAGTATACAAATGACTAATTTGTATGCTGAATGATAAGTAAATAAATGTTAATACATAAAAACAGCTAACGGATTTTATTATAATAAAGAAAAAAGAATATACTGCTCTCTCTGTCTTTCTAAGGGAAGAGAAATAATGCTTAAAAATACAAAATTTCCCATATTCTTTAAAGAAAGTATAGCAAAATCAGAAATAACAGCATAAACAGCAAATCACGCTACTATTTTTGATTTTTACATTTATTTTAACGGAACTGCCTATACATATATTTTTTTAATCTGAGACGACAGATAGTAAAAGCGGAAATGACGTCATAACAAAATTCAATTGAACGTCTTATATTGGTGTCGTTTTCGAAATTTAAACCTGCTATTAAAAAACGAAGTGAAATAATAGCCGTATAAGGAATTTAAGTATATGTAAATTAAAAAAAAGATAATAACAAATACTTTTTTTATATATTTTTTTTTTATATTTCTATGCTTTCATCAAAAATAAGACGTCAATGAGCTATAGAACTATTGTGCTATTATTACTCAGAAAAAGTAAATGCTTTGTAACTAACTCATCGATCAAAAAAGTAAAATATTCTCCATCTAAAAAAATCACTGAAAAACTGTCCACCAACCAACGATTAGTATTTTTGTGCCTACCCTCAAAAACATAGCACTATATCACAAATTTATTTTATACTCTATGGTTTATTTAATCTGTACCTTTTATATATTGGTTAATTTCGGTTATTTTATAAAATCACGATTTTATTTTCTTATATTTATTAAGACTAACAATATTAATCTTAACACTATAAAGAACCTACATTTTTAATAACACTTTTCTCTTATTGGTGACATAATCAGAACTTAAAAAAAAACTTTTAATTTAGCCGAGTTGAGCGATTTTTGGTAGAGGGAAAACTCATGAGTTGGCGATATCGACATATTATTAGTGGAACGTTGCGACAAACTGGCAACACGCAGTGCTCTGTGTACATATTATATATTATATACACTCGAATTTATCATGTACGTGTTGGACTCTTTTTGTCTTTTTTGAAATTGTGTTTTCGATAATCATTATTGAACTAAAAACCTCTTAAGCCGCGTTGAGCGATTTTTGGTATGGACAATACATATGAGTTCGCGTCACCGACATGCTACATGTGACATGTGACGTGTCGACGCAGTCTGACACAAGCTGGCAACGCGCAGCGTCATATATTTTGAATGATAAATAATCTATATCAAAATGTATATAATTATTGCTCGGAGTGCCAATGGATGTGGAAACCAGACAAATAATAATTTCAATTTACAAATTATGGAATTTTAATTATTCATACTATAATTTAAAAAAAAAACAATTCAATTATTCCTAAGTTACAAGTTTTCAATTCTGTCGGCAGTCCCCATGACATTTTTTAAGCTATAGCTCCAACATGGCAAGTTGCAAATCATCAATCTCTGCGTTCGGGTCGAATAATTCTTGAAATGGGTATTAATCAGGAAATTTTCCTACATCTCTTTTTTCTTGATTATCATCTGGAACTTCTTCGCGACATAATTCTCGACAAATTTCTAGTGTTCTTTCGATTTCTACGTTGAATTCAAATTCTTTTCTCTTCTGTAATATCAGATCTACATTTTCATCGTATAATCTAATAAATTTCATTTCTTCAAGAATTTCTACCTCTTCCTGACGAAACAGTATGTGTAAAGTAATTATTTTTTAATTATGCAATAATTGTAACAATTTAGGCCATCCTGTTTCGCTAGCACTTATTGTAAAAAAAACTGTTGGCTTGCCATATTGTCTGATCATTGCAAACAGATCTTTTTTCCTTTCTGACCAATAATATGCTGAATTTGGGATCGTGCGTAGAACAGCTAAATTACTTTCAATACACACGCTTTTATTTTTCTTTTGTTGACTACACCATAAACGTAACTGGATTTGTGTATTTTCCTTCTCTTGATATGAACCGTAATGCTATGATCATCATCTATATTCCTTGGCAATGATTGAACCATAGTATTTACTTCTGTTGGAACATTTATTACCTGCCCATAAATCCCAAATTGACCATGAACATGTCGAAGTCTTCGAATTTGCATAAATGGAATTATCGGAGATACAAGTCTTTCTGTTACCAAATCCAATGGAAAATTTTTAAGATTTTCCGGAAATGGAGCATATTTAAAACCATTATATACCGAAAGTGGTGGAACGCGATTCTTATTAATCAATGTTAAGCAAGTTGAACATATTTTCACCTCTACTACATAAATGTTTCTAAGCATTGTTCTTATAAATTGAATATTGGGAGTTGCATCGTTATTATCAAAAGTTTTCAAATCTTTTTTAAACCACAATCTATCACAAACGTCACAAACATGACCAAAATCATTTTCAAAAAAATCTTTTTGAAATTCTCGATGCGCACTGGAATTTTGTTAGAAAGAAGAATATGTTTGTAAACGTAGATTATGTTGAGAATGCATATTTTGAATATTATTTTGATTATTTGGCACATAGTTTGTTATTATTGCTTCATTTAATTGTGGAACATAATTAACTTATTATTTTTATCATAATCTAAATGTGACTCTGGCTTGTATGGATCATTCCGTGTTGATAGATCAGCAGTATGACTTGATGGGACATATGACACATTTCTCATCGATAAGCCTGCAATTTGTAAGTTACGGGAATTTTGACATTCCAAAACATGCCTTAAAACTGTTTTTAAGGATTGATCTGCATGTAAATTAATCAAATTAGTAGCTCTTTTCTTATCACTGTACCGCTGACTTTTTTGTTTGTTATATACTTTACGACGTTTAATTTTTTTCTCTTCCTCGACTGTGATTGTTCGATGTTTCTGTAAACTATCATCTATTTCATCAGTTTTTTTTCTTTTTCTTTTCTCTATATCTTTTAGATCTAATTCTATTTAGGATTTTATTTCTATTTTTTCTTCTAATTTCATCAAGTTTATTTTGACTTGTGCCATCTTTAGAGAAATGCACTCCTTCGTCATCATTCTGTCGTTTTCTTTTACCACCGTGTGAAGACATCTCAAATTTTATTTTCACGTAGGATTGAGGATCTAAACAAATATAGAAAATGGAAATTTAGAAACAGTAATTATACTACAATACTCTTTTGTAAATTTCTAATGAAGAAATTGAATGATATAATATTTGACTGGTATTTTATTTCTGCCAATTTACTTTTGAGAAATTAAATTTATTATAAAATTTTATAGATTTTTTAGTTTTAGAATCCGCGTAAAAATCCTATCGAATAACTAGAAATCTGTTTTACCATGCTAGTAAGGTAACTTCTAGGCCACTAAGAAATATTCTTTGCACCATGTATTACAGAGATCATATATTACAAAAATAAATAATTTCAAATCTTTTAACGCAAATATCGATACTAATATAAAAATTATTCGAAAATAAATGTTATGTTTTCGTGATTCATTTTTCTACATACACAATTAAAATAATAATTATCGATAACACAATTTAAACAATGCACAGTATACACAAATTAAACTTTTCTCAAGGTCAATTTAACACCACTTACTGCTTCTACGGCATGTCGGTGACGCGAACTCACAAGATTTCACCCATCCGAAAAGAATCCAACACACATGATACGTGTGTAAACAATGTGCGTATATATGGGTATATTATATATATATATATATATATATATATATATATATATATATATATATATATGTACACAGGCCAGTCTGGCGGAACGGTCCACTAGCATGTCGGTGACACGAACCTACAAGTTTTCCCTGTACCAAAAATCGCTCAACGCGGCTAAACATGTATTCACTTAAAAAATCATATCATTTTATATATTAACAAAATCATCTTTTAACTTCTCCATTTGCGCCTTCTTCTTGTTTTCAGCAGCTATTTGCTTCAAGGTCATTTCTCTGTTATCTATCAAATGCTTGACGTCATCAAACTCTTTGAAAATGTCCAAATCGTCTTGATGGAGACGTATATGACTTTTGAGGCTGCTCTTCTGCATAAACGTCTTTTTGCAGACTTCGCATTGAAACCGTTTATCATCCTCATGCACCTTCATATGCTCTTTTAGAGTCCGAGTCCTTGAGAAGGACTTACCGCAAACATCACACGCGCAAACTTCTGCCCCGGTATGCCTGGTCATATGGTCGACCAGACCACGCTTGGAAAAGAATTTCGCGTGACACTTATCACATAAATAACTCCTTTGCTGCAAATGATGGTGTTTTATATGGCGGCTCAATTCGAATCTCTTTTTGTACGTCTTATTGCATGCGTTACACGGATACAGAACGGGCGTTTCATTGTGGACTTTCACCAAATGCTCGCTTCTTTCGTAGTAGCTGACAAATATCTCCGGACAATGGGGACATTTGTTCCTCAACCATCCTCCAGTGTGCACTCCCTTTTCGTGATTCCTTTTCTTGGTGAGAGAAGTGTACGATTTGTCGCAATAATCGCATGGAAAGTGCCCCTGATAGTGGGTCTTTCCGTGTTTCCTCAACGCCGCGATAGTGATGTAGCCGGCGCCACATTTCTTACAGCAGTAATTACGATAGTGACTGCTCATGTGTAGATAAAGATTTTTGAACGAAATATGAACAACCGAGCAAACAACACACGTAAAATTATGCCCATCATCCAATTTGAACGGCAAAATGATATCTTTAATATTTTTATGTATCGTTTTATTGTGAGCGGTGACCAAATGTTCCTTCAGCTCGTTCAGATCTTTCATGTTAGTGTTGCACACTGTGCATCTTAAATCTGTTATGTCCAACTTGATGGGATTGTAGCTCAATTTGTAGTCTAGCATCGAGTTAATTTTATCCTTCTCACTTTGCTGGGCAGTGTGTATCCGTAGTTCGTCGATAGTTTTAAAATATTTCGCACAGTAGAGACATGAGAAACCTCGCATCGTCTTATCTCGGAAGGGGCTGGCATTGGAGTATTGTAGTATGGCGGAGAGATTTACTCTGTGCTCTATTCTCTCTGGCGTGGCACTAACATCTGATTTCTTTTTCTTTTTCCTGCGCTTGGGCTCGCCGTCCGTTCCTATAACAGAAACGAGCACATCTCATTATCTTCATCCAATCTCTTCTTAAATAACTTTCTTAGTCTTCGTGGACGTGCGAACTCAGTTCTCTCATATTTTCAATTGTTAGTTTTTAGAAAGTACAGTGCGAGATCATTTTTAGTTCAAGTGTAAATAAAACGCTGTAAATAATTCATCTTTTATATTCACTCCATGAATAAAATAAGCTAAATTACAATAAATATTTCGTACAACACAGAATAAGTATAGTAAAATATACAAATAATGGTCATGGGTAGATTAAGAATTAAGGTAAATGTATATATTCATCCCTGATAGGTATGTTTGAACATCTGTTTTAATGAATATATTTGAATAGGTGTTCCACAAGGTTCATAATTAGGTCCCTACCTATAAATTCTATACGTTGTGTTTAAAAATAGATATATACATATATAAATACTTTACAAGCACACATTTTCCTAAGTACTTTAAAAACCTATTTTAGGTGACGTTAAAGGAAAATCTAATATAAATATGGTTAAAAATTCGAAAGAGTTTTTAATGTTTATACTTAATATAACTTATAAATCGATTGTGCGAGATATGTATGATACACTTACTAATATCTACATGGATTTTGTCACTTCTTTCGTTTACGCAGCAACTTATTTTATAATCACCGTAATTCTATATCAATAAAGCACTCAATTTTTTAATAATACCGGAGCAAAGTTAAAACTTGTACGAAGAGCTCCGTTCGATGGACAATAATAAAACTAGTGTTCGCCCAGTCTAGTCCGAAAATCGATCATAAATATTATTTATACACATAAATAAAATATTGAAGTGTCTGTTTGTAATGTCAAAATAATAGCTTTTTACTAAATGCATATGAAAGTATATAATACGGTACTTATAAGAAAAAAACAAGTTTTATAACTTTTATTTGTCTGTTTGTTCTTTGGTCTAATATTCGAAACTGCTGGACCGACTTTGACAGGACTTTCACTGGCAGGTAGATGTTATAAGGAGTAATTTAGGCTAATCTTATTTTCCCCCCAACGTGCGTTCACCTTGTCGTGGTGGGAGTGCTCAGTAGTGCCCGGCAATCCAACCGGGCGTGAAGCCAAGAAACGCACAGGGAGGTGGCCCACTTCGGTGGGCGGTGGGAGGTGGCCCTCTTCGATGGGCGGTGTACCATGTGGGTTGCTCCTGGTACTTCTCTGATAGCAGAGTGGACTTGAGAGCAACCCCATGGTTGTGGTGGTCTGCTTCGGCAGACCTGCCGTCGGGGCATTGTAGTCAAATGCGTAAGCGATCCTGCGACGCCCCATTACGACGGGGGAAGGTTTTGTTGGGTTTTAGTGGGTAGTACTGGCTTTATTACGCCGGTGAGTCCCACACCTCGTGCGTACGCGCGTAAGTTGAAAATATATTATATAATAGAATTTGTTTATCTATAAAAAACTGTTTTCAATTTCTTTTTTTTTATTGATAAAATATTACAAAGAGCTAAAGTTTGTGAATTGTGAGTTTGTGACGTTGTAGGGGGTAATCTCTGGATCTACTGAACCGATTTAGATGAGATTTGGTAAGAAGATAGGTTGAGACCCTGGGAAGGACATAGGATACTTTTTATCCCGGCAAGCTCAATCAATAGCTAATAAACAAAAGAAAATCCTTTAATAAACAGAGGAGAAAAAAAGGCACTAAACCGTTTTATCTTTGCCTGTTTATTTATGAACGATAATTAAACCTTTCGAAATCGCTTTACAAAACTAGGTGTAGTATAAAATTACTTTAACGAACTAAAACAGCAGATTTAATATGTAGAATTTAAATGATCAGATTCATAATCTATACTAATATTATAAAGAGGCATAGTTTGTTTGTTTGTTTGTTTCGTTTGTATTAATTTGTTTGAACGCGCTAATCTCAAGTCTACTAATCTCAAACTACTAATCCGATTTGAAAAATTCTATTTGCATTACATAGCCCGTTCATTGAGGTAGGCTATAGGCTATATATCATCACGCTACTACCCAAGGGAGCGGAGCAGTAATCATAAATGTCAACAAATCAGGCAGACTTCCATATATTATTGTAAAACCCGAACGAAGGAACGAATGAGGGTGAGTCGCAGTATAACATAAAGCCAAATAGTTTTTATTGTAGATTGTACGGGTTCTGCTAGTTTTAATATATTTCATCACTATACGATAAAATGCACTTACCTTCTCCTAACAAAATTCAATACAAAAATAAACCAGTTAATCCTTCTTCTGACACACAATTTATGAAGATAAATAATATCAAAACCTATCGAAACTTTAACTTTTTAAAGGCGACCGAGTCAAAATTAAAAATAATGTTTACGCATGAGAAAATATTACTTGTATATTGCAGAATTTCAAGTTTAAAAAAAAACAATGTCAAATCTAAAAATACAGATACTAAATTGTACATCATTACAAAGTCATAGATAACATTGAAAAAAAAATGTCTCTAATTTTCATTTTCTCTATCGAAATAAAAAAAATATTTTTTTGTCAGCGGGTGAACAATCATGGAGTGTGTATGACGGGAATGGTTTTTTTTTAAATTATAAATAATTTAAAGTGTTTTTTTTTTACTACAAATATTTTAATACATATATTATGTATATAAAATAATGCAGAAAATTTTTTTACACATCTATGATACATAAACAGTTTGAAGAAACCAACGACTAAAAGTGGAATTTAAAAAAATATATATGTATATCAGAAAAAAAAATCTGAAATGAAAATTTTATTTCAAGCAATCAGAAATAATATGTTTAATTTTTAGACATTTTAAATTGTATTAAGTAAAGCTTTAATTTATTTCCATCTATAATTTTGTAATGTTGCCATAATACATAAAAAAAACACAGTATACACATAAAAGAAAAGGCAACGGAAAAGCTTGCAGATTTTGTTATATATCCATCAAAGAGGAGAATAAAAAAAAATGTGAGTTAAATTCATACTATTTTAAATAAACCTATCTTTTCGGATTATTTCGCGGATTTATTTTGATTTTTGGTTCTCGACACATATGTATGTATAATATGTGAAATCTGTTCACTGATAAGAGCAAATGTTTGTCTCAAGCGGGTGTCGAACCCGTGGGTGATCTCTTTAGTCTTAGCACATTAAGCGCTTCAGAGGAATATCTATACATATAATAAAATTCTTACTGAGCCGAATCTGTACATTAAATATTTTTTGAAAAATCTTATTGAAATAGACATTATTATCGATACAGAGGCCGAATCTAGTTTTTAGATTTTTTGTCTGTCTGTCTGTGACCACATGACGGAAAAACCACTGGAGGGATTTTGATGAAATTTGGTATGGTGATAGCTGGTTATCCGGGTCAACATATAGGATACTTTTTACCGCGGGAAAATATCTCATTTCTGAGAAAAAATTCAAAAACTGCAATGTAAGAGTATACTAATATATAAAACCTAAGGGTTTGGTTTTTAGTCATCTGAACGCGGGCGGAGCCGCGGGCAATGCTAGTCATAGATAATTATGATTCATTTTATGGCAGATTTCTTGACTCATTTTTCAAGCTACCTATCATAAGTAAATTATACTCTTTATAGATTTATCCATATCTATACATATAATAAAATTGTAACTGATCCCTGTCGCTGTGATACATGGAAGATATTTGAGGAAAAACTATTATTGGGGGTCTTTATTAACACAAAACAATGTTTTTAGAATTTTTGTCTGTTCGTTTGTGCGCGCTAATCTCAGAAACGGCTTAACCGATTTGGATGCGATTTTCGCTAATGTACTGTAGTAAGCTTGACTTAACATTTAGTATATGTTTTATTTCAATCAGTTTATAAATAAAAAAGTTATGTCAATTTAAAAAAAACACATTTAAATATTACACATTTTTTTATTTGTATGTAATTGTGTCTGTAATTCTAAAACTGAACGCAGCTTATCCTTTGCCTTTTAAAATGAGACATTGATGTTGTGTTCAGGCGAGTATTTCGTTTTTAATATAAAATATTAAAATCATAACTTTTCTTTTGAAAAAAAGTTAAAAAACCATTTGTTTTAATAAAGAAAAAATGATGTTACACATGATTGCCAAAAAATATATATATACATATGTCAATAATATAAGAATTATTTTTAAAACGTTCTTGTCTTTTATAATAATCAAAAATATTTTTCTATGATAATCAATTATTAATTAAATAATCTACATAGCATACATACTTTCCCGCGTAAACACACCACCAATGTGTCAAATATAACAAAGTTGTCACTTACGTTTAGCCGACGGCTCTCCATCGGTAGTCTTTGCCTTCTTCGCTCTGGACGTGGACGCTTTGGCTTGACGTTTCTTTGGCTTGTCGTCCAATTTCTCAACTTTTATGGGCACTTCGTAATCTGGAAATTAAAAAAAAAAGTGCGTGTGTACTGTATGTACGCACGTAAGAAGTTATACTTCTTTGGCGTAACAGAAAGAAAATAGCTAAAGATTTCATCCCGTATGTCACAACTCTCTGTTTGTAAAAGGAATGCAGCTAACTTCATCGTGTCGCTTTTTGGCTGTCGGTGTGCGCGCGCATCGTAAAAATTTTACTCTCATTATTTTTAACAAACGTGCCAAAACAAGTATAACTTCAAAAAATGGCATTTTGTAAGAAAAGAATTATAATTATAAATTATAATTATGTTGGGACATTAACACACAGCACCTTCTATATAAAAAAGAGAAATATACATAAATACACATAAAAAAAGCAGGCGGCCTTATCGCTAGAAGCATTATTTTTAACCGACTTCCAAAAAGGAGGATGTTCTCAATTCGTCGGAATCTTTTTTTTTTCTTTTTTTTTATGTATCTTCACCGATTACTCGAAGACGCCTGAACTGATTTGGAAAATTGTTTTTGCATTTCAAAGGGCATACTTTCCAGGTCGTCCCATATAAATTTTATCGAAATCGGTCGAGCGATTTTTTAAAAATCAAAATAAATCCGCGAAATAATCCGAAAAGATAGTTTTATTTAATAAATACATTTTTTAAATAAATTGTTTAATTGAATATGTTATTAAAAATCTTTCTTCTTACAAATTACCTGCTTATTACGTCTACACTAAAAATGGAAAAATATAAACTTAAAACAAAAACCGACTTCCAGGCACTAAAATGTAAAAAATAACTAAACGGGGGTTTACATTTAGTATAGACACCTGATCAGATATTTTCGAAGTCGGTGTCAGCCGACAATATTTTAAGATATGAATATCTAATAGGTAAATATGTATTTTACGTATCGAAATATATTAGATTTGCTTTGCATCGGCTGGCACCGACTTCGAAAATATCTGATTAGGTATCTATTCTAAATGAAAACCTCCGTTAAGTTATTTTTTAAATTTTAGTGTCTGAAAGTCGGTTTTTATTTTATTTTCTTAAGCTTTTATAACGAATCCATTTTCGTAACCAGTTTACCGAATAAACGAATCCGTGTTTTCATCAGATTTTGTTTGGTGTTATTTTATAAAAAAACAAAAATTACTTACCATTTGCAGAGAAATCTTCCGACAAAGTATTATCGGACATGTCGCCATCATCTCGCGCGGGCTCTATTTTTATTGGGTTCGCTGAAAATGTCATAATGAATAAACGATTTTGAAATATTACATACGTATATATATATGTGTGTGTGTTTATATATATATATATATATATATATATATATATGTTTGTGTGTGTGTGTAAGTACATATTAACATCGTGTATAGTATCCGCTAACGAATCAACCTTGCTTCGCTCGGGTTTGTCCTAGCTTGCTTCCCAATACAAACTTTCATCCTCATTTTCACCCCGTTAAGGGATGATTTCCATGATAAAAAGTATCCTATGTCCTTCCCAGGATCTCAATCTATCTTCTTACCAAATTTCATCTAAATCGGTTCAGTAGATCCAAAGATTACCCCCTACAACATCACAAACTCACAAACTTTACCTCTTTATAATATTAGTATAGATATCTATCTATACTTGATGAACATAATAATCTTAATACTAAAAAAACATGTTTATAAACAAGCTTTACATTATATAGATTGTGTAATATAACAAATGGGTTTGATTTAAATTGAAGTTAATATTTTTTAGGTATTTATTCGTATTCTTCTCAGCAAACCTTTTCATTTCATATCCAGACCATGGGGCATAAAAAACATAGTCCGCCATGTTGGATTTAGAATGACGTCACATATCTAACCACGCAATGTCAATTAAACTAAACGTGTATGCAAAATTTCAACTCGATTGAGGACAGATGCTTAAAAATTCAGTTGGAAGATTTGACCCGAACAAACATACATACAAACATTGCAAGTTAAATAAAAGCTTGTAAAATTAACATTAATCCCTCAACGACCGCGGTCACACCGGTGTTACAGTTAAAAATTATTTTTTTAGAAATTTAATTAATTTCTTAGAGTTTGACCTGGAGGAGTGTATGTCTGTTTATATATGATAATGACCGGAATGAATATATCAATTAAACGAAATTTTTACAGGCACATAGATTATTTGACAGACACGTTTGGCTCAGTTTGTAGCGACCCTACTTCCTGTGCCAGCGGTGGCGGGTTCGAGTCCCGCTGGGGGCATCTATTTGTGTGATAAGCAAGAATGTTTGTACTGCAGTCATGGGTGTTTATATTTATAATATGTATGTATTTAAAGTTATATATATGTTGTGTATCAACTATCTGGTATCCATAACACCAGCCGTGTTCATCCGCGTCCCCGCGCGGATTTTGTTCACAATTTCGCTTTCGTTCACAAGTGAGGTTAAGTCGAGTATTATATTATTAAGAGGAGTATTATATTATACAACCGACTCACCCTCGCTCCGTTCGGGTTCGTCCCTACTTACGTTTTAACGTTTAGTATAGATTTCTCAGAGATGAGATATTTTCCCGCAGTAAAAAGTATCCTATATGTTGACCCGGATAACCAGCTATCATCATACCAAATTTCATCAAAATCTCTCCAGTGGTTTTTCCGTGATGCGGTAACAGACAGACAGACGAAAATTCTAAAAATTATAGATTCGGCCTCTGTACCGATAATAATTGTCTATTTCAATAAGATTTTCCAAAAAATATTTAATGTACAGATTCGGCTTAGTTACAATTTTATTATACCTATGTATGATTGATGCAACAAGTGCACAATCATAAGCACAATTACACAGATATCAAAACAAAGAGACTTGCTATATGTATGTATGTCTCTGATATGCGTCAGATTTTGTTTTTTTTTTATTTCATTTTTACACACTCATATCTATTTAGAAGGTATTGTAACAAAATCTTGTAAATCAGTAATTTTATTCGTGTTCAGCCCTTTTTTTGAATGTCCCACTGCTGGGGGTGAGCCTCCCTTCAATACGAGGGGGATCAGGCCATAGTCCACCACACTGGCCAAGTGCGGGCAGACTGAGCATGTCTTTCGAAAACATGCTAGGTTCTCTCAGACATGCAGGTTTCCTCACAATGTTTTCCTTCACAGTGAAACAATGGTAATCATGTTGAAAAACGATTCGAACATTAAATATCAGAGGTGCAAGACATGGGATTCAAACCCGCTTCACTATTTATTGCCCAAAAATCTTAAAAATAAGGATAATTGACATAATGGATATATTTTTATATATATGGATATTTTAAATAAAAAAAGACAAGCCGAAAACCCTTTTCTGAATAATTACCATTTTTATACAGGTAATTAAGTATTTATATACATACATTTAAGTAGAATATCTTGCAGTCGTCTTTTGAACTGCTCTTCAGTCTGTTGCACTTGACGCTTGAAATTGCATGCATTCCGCAACTGTGTGATGCAAACTTCACATATTCCTCCATTGCTGACTTCATCAGACGTGGTTAACTGAGAAAAAAATAATCAGAATTCTGTTACAAATGTAAACATTTGCATGTTTATGTTTGTTTGTTCAAATTTGCTCACTGAAATGAGTGGATAGATTTTGATGAAATTTAATATACTGATATCACTATAATTTGGAATAAGCAAGTAATATAATATATTAAGCTGAAGTTGCAAGTTAAAAACAAAACAAAATTGTAGCAAAATTAGTAAAATAAAATATTTTCCTTCGCATCCACTGGACCTCATTTCATTCAGGGTTTAATATATACCCTGCTTAGTTCAGTAATATACTGATTCATTGCAAATTCATTATGGACTTCAAGCAATTATGTTATCAAAGGTAATATTAATTTGAATTACTGTACAGTGTATGAAAAAATTATAATAAATATATTAATAATTATTTATAAAATATGTGGTATTTGTTTAATTAAATCCAGATACAATGTCAAACATCCATATATTTTGTTTAACAGTTGATATTTATTAGTGTTTTCTGAGAAATTACAATATTACCAGATTGAGAAACCATAGTGCCTATGAGATAAAGTGTAACTTTTCTTATTGAGTTATTCCATTATGTAAAAAGAGCGAAATTTAAAAAATATTTTTATTTGCATTGTCTCTTTACAGTTTACTTGGAAGAAAATATTAAATGTGTGCGCAAATCTGCAATCAATTAAATATAAAGATGCGCTTTTATAAGCTATATTTTACAGAATTTGATGCTATTATTTATTGCTTGATAATATAATAGCAGTATTGTACTTACCGTAATAGAAAAACAATCTTTTAACATGTCGGCGTAAATTTCTTCCTCGCCCATCCAATGATACGATGTTAGAAAGTCTTTAAAACTGCCTTCCGACGCACAACACCGGCATATGCCATTATTTAATAGAGGCTCCATTCTAACTAATTACACTAAACTTAACATTAACATTTAACTTAAAAGTTTATTGCTTTCAGTAAAACAAGATTGTAGCAATCGACGCTACGCGATCGAAGCTCCGCCATTTTCTAAAGAAGTAAGAACAAGAAAAGTGTAATGGAAACTAATAAGTTGTTTTATTATACCTAAATATATAGTTTGTTTATTTCATATATATTATTAAATTATTAAACAATAAACAGTTAGTGCTATTGGTGATAATATAAAAATAACAATAACAAATAAAGTTTATTTTAATGTTACATGCCAGTACGTTGTATAAAAAAATAGATTTGTCTTTGACTTGAATGTCAATTAATTTAAATATGTCAATGTCAACTCAAATCAGAAATAGCTTCAAAGCATTATTGAGATTTCTGAATAAAATATAATAGATACATTGATATTAAAATTTAATTATGAATCTTAATGCAACATGTCGTTGCTGTTTGGCGCGTCCACCTGATAAAGACCTTAAGTCGACGTACACATGTCTTGGTAAAACCGAAGTATATGGGGACATGTTGAAAGAGTGCTTCGAAATTCATGTAAATATTAGTATTTGTTTTGTCTTATCGAATTATTGTTACTCACATTCTTGTCATACTTTTTGTATAGTGCTTGCTATTTCGAATAATATAGAGTAATAGAAATAAATATGAAATATTATGTTGACTCTGGGTTGACATGTAGATTTAAATTATTTTAAGGCTCATTTTCAACTGTTTACTAACGTGACAGAAAATTAAAAACTTAGTTATATTTGGTCTTGTAAATATAACTAATCAAATTTTGAGATTCTTATAAGATTTTTAAATTTCATAATCTAAGCTTTATATAACTGTTTAATTTCAGTTATCAATGGAATTAAATGAAGATGATAATGGTATATGTGAAGTGTGTATAGCACGGCTTCGAGATGCATGTGACTTTAAACATCAAGTGCAAAAGTGCCAAAAGGAATTTCAGTGCCGACTTACACACAATTATGATCTCAAAGGTAATACTTAATTTGAATTATTAGACTAGACAGTGACTGAATAATAATAAAGATATGCGGTAATTTTGTTTATTAGAATTTATTTAAGGTGCAAGGGGGTATGCTTGCACCCACTTGCCATGAGGGAAAATATATAGAAAAAGTTAAAAATATTAAATTATATGAGTAAAATCCCTGTTTAGACATATTCAAAGAAAAAGGCGATACTTAAATAAAAAATGAATGAAAAATATAAAGTTAATCATTTAAAGATTAGTTTGTAGTTTAATGTGAAGATGCAGATGCACCCCCCTGGAAATGATCCTACCTCTAACTTTGATATGGCTTAAAATAATGTAAGTTGTGGGTTCAATATGCAAACAAGAATATGACAAAATCATTGATAGTAATTTTTGTGTTGTATTGATAGTTATGTTATATCAGAAGATTCCAGGTTCGAAACCTGGCAGGGTTGCCATATAAAGGTTCGATTCAGGGAGCGAAATAGAACACGACTTGTTGGCTCAAAACACAGTTTGTTACTCTCCTAATATATTTGATACAATCGTTTATATGTGTACTAAAATCAGGGATAGTTATGAAATCATTATAATACATAGGTTACATATATAATATACCACAATATGTATATGAGAGCAGATGGTTCCCGTGGTTTTATATATACTAACTAGTAGAACCTGTGGTTTAACCTGCGTTCAATGTACAAAAAAAGAAAGAACTCTTTGGCTTTATATTATACAGCTACATATTTAAATAATAAATGTAGTTTTACAATTATGTATGGAAGTCTGCCCGATTTGTGACATTTATGATTACTGCTCTGCTCTTTTGGGTAGTAGCATGGTGATATATAAACTACAGCCTTCTTCAATAAACGGACTATCTAATGCAAAAAGAATTTTTCAAGTTCGATTAGAAGTTCCTGATATCATTCAAACAAACAAACAAACTCTGCCTCTTTATAATATTAATATAGTTGAAATCTTATTTGCTTAAACTATCACACACACAATTATTAAAATAGAAGTTATATTTGTATTGAATTTACAATTTAATGTTATTATGTATATATTTTTCAGGCGAAGAAATGGTGAAAGTAAAAGAAGAGTATTCGGATGCAGAAGATAATGAAATTTATTTCTTAGGTAACAACTTTTTTTTTGTGTGTATATTAAATATTAGGGTGGAGCGAAAAAAAAAATGTTTTTTTCTTAGCTTGGGGGTAGAATTTGTAGCTTATATAAAAACAAAATTTTTGAAATATGTTACTTTTTTGTATTACATATATGTATATAATATACTATCAACCCGTGGCTTTGCTTGCGGTAAAACTAGTGAAAAACTCTAAAATGTCTTACTTATTTTTTTAACAGTGGTCAAGAAAATTAAATGCTTTTGTCAATAATATATAAAAGCAAAGATTTAGAGATTACATTTCCTAACAAATATCTCTTCAAAAAGTGGCGTCGAGATGTCACGTTAAGTCAAATAAAAGAATTAAATTCAAAAATCGATTGTTCCAATTGTCTAAACACAAATTCGAACTTATCGCATATCACATAAATTACTTTTTTACACGAAACAGTGTGTATTTTAATTTTATCATCCGAAGAGAAATGAACAAAAGAGATTTGAAAAAAGCGCATAATTTTGAATTGTGCGCTTCCTTTTGAGGACACTTTTGAGAGTAATTGTGTATCTTGAGTTTTCTACATATCAAAGGCTTTTGTATTTATAATATTAGTATTGATATCATTTCAGGATTAAAAGATGAGTTTGAAGAGATGAAGGAGGAAGATGATAAAATCGCTGAAATACTTGGTTTTGACAAAGTCACAATGGACCACAAAGACAAGAAGAAAAACGGCAAGAAACGTCACCTGTTACTGGATAAATCTGGGAAAGGTATGTATCTATACAGATAAATAAAATTGAAGTGTCTGTTTGTAATTACAAAATAACAGCTTTTATTAAATGCATGTAAAATTATATATGGTACCTACTTATAAAAAATACACAAATTTTAAAAATTTTGTCTGTTCTGGCTAATCTCCGAAATGGCTGGACTGATTTTGACGGTACTTGCACTGGCAGTAGCTGATTTTTTAAGGAGTAACTTAGGCTACTTTTATATTAGAATAAGAATTAGGGTCCCTTTCAAAAAAAGGAAAACGAACGAAACGAACCTGAGTGAAGCGAGGGTATAAGTCGCTAGTCTGTAATATATAAACTAATAAATATTTCAATAATAATAGGGAATATGCATGATTTTTTTTAATACAATAGCTTACATCGTTATGTAATTATAAAAAAATAGCTAGTTCTCTAGCTCTCTCTAGCTCCAAAAAACTAAAACTTAGTATATATATATATATATATATATATATATATATATATATATATATATATATATATTAAATATCACACCGTTACGGGTAATCGTTGGCGTGACGTCACAGTATGATATACACAGAAAAATGACAACTCAATTTGTAGCTACAAAAACGCTAATCGCTCTGTTATAATACACTCTGACGTCACATTCGGTCTGACCAATGGCGTGCGTTTCAACTACTTTGGATTTCTAGTTTTTGTAGTTTTTAATAATTATTCTCTTAATCAAAAAGAAATTACATTAAAAATATTCATATAGGCTTTATTCAAAATCAACAAATACCTTATTGCCTTACGGTGAAGGAAAACATCGTAAGGTCGTCTGTATGTCTGAGAGAACGTAGCAAGTTTTCGAAAGATATGCTCAGTCCGCCCGCACTTGGCCAGCGTGGTGGAATATGGCCTGATCCCACTCGTACTGAAGAGAGGCCCACCCCCAGCTTTGGGACGTTAAAAAGGGCTGAATACTGAATACTGATAAATAAAAAAGATAACAAGTTAATATTAGTCCCGCTGAGTTTCTTTCGCCAGTTCTTCTCAGGTCTGAGGTAGACTCATGACGTTCAGTAAAAAATTGTAATAATTTAATGCTGAATAAAATATTTTGAATTTGAATAATAGATATCATATTATTATTCTAAATGCGTATGTTTGTATGTTTGTGATTTCTTCACGTTAGAACTATGGACGATAGATGGCGCTTATCTTAAAGTTGTCAAAATGATTTTATTTTATAAAAACGTGTGCACTAAAATGTACCGATCTCCCTAGTGTCTTCTCCATTCTACGTGATATTTGCGAAATAATCTGTGCGCAACTGGCACGCTTTGAAGCAATTAACAAGATAACTTAATTAAAATGTAATTTAAACCAAGCAGTCCTAAAAACGAAAATAACGCCATCTATGAATATGAAATATAAACTTATTAAGTTTTTCTAGATTTTGTAATCATTTCTATACATCATACTTAAATAAACCAATTCAGTTTATGCAGTGGAATAATAATTTCACATCTTGCAGTGCAATGTATAATAATTTAAAAGAACAACAATTTAAATATACTTTAACTTTAAACTCCTTCGTTTGTTTGTTTCAGAACGCAAATCCAAGAACCATATCAAATCGTCCATTAAACTTTCTCTGTCGACGTTCTCTCAAATCGAAAAGCTAAACAAATCCATCCCCGACATAAGAATTGTGAGTGAAAACAAAAAGCACAGTGTAAATGTGGAAAATATACTTAAATATTCAAATTGCACGCCGTTCTTCAATAAAACCCTGTCTGGTATAATCTGTGCATACTGCAAAGAAACATTGCCGAATCCCGACGAGTTTCGTCATCATACGCGGGAAATACACAAAAAGGATGAGTTAAATTACAACAAACGTCTCGACAAAAGTAATTTATCAATAAAAATGGATATAACCAACTTAAAATGCAATGTTTGCGATGCAAATTTTGATTCGATACCTAAATTAAAGGTGCATCTGTCCAGTGAACACGATGTCAAGTTTTATCCTGATGTCAATGACTATATAATGGAATTCAAATTGACTGAAGGCGACTTGTTGCACTGTGCCTTATGTCTTTCCACGTTTGAGACGTTCAAAATGCTCTTACAACATATGAACGGACACTATAGAAATTTTGTGTGCGACGTTTGTGATATGGGCTTTATAAATAAGCACAGATTAAAAAATCATCAAAGAACCCACGAGATAGGCACGTTCAAATGCGCGTTTTGTGATAAAGTATTCTCCACACGTGTTAGGAAAATGTGTCATGAAAAATATACGCATAATACAAACGCGAGGTACACAACTAACTGTCCACACTGCGAACAGTCCTTCACTAGTTATTATCAAAGGAACAGACATATGTTTAAAGAGCATAACGTGTCGGCTGCCACTTATAAGTGTAATGTGTGCGAGAAATCCTTTATTTTGAAATCTAAATTGACATCTCATATCAAAAAGGTTCATTTGATGGAGAGGAATCATATTTGTCCCGAGTGTGGGCAGGGTTTCTTTATAAAGCAGTCGTTAGACGAGCATATGATAAAGCATAACGGCCAAAGAGTTTTCAAATGTACGGTCTGTCAAAAGGCGTACGCGAGAAAGAAAACTTTGAGAGAACATATGCGTATACATAATAACGATAGGCGGTTCAAATGTGGCCTTTGTGGCCTGGCATTTGTACAGAAATGTAGCTTGAAAAGCCACATGCTGTCAAATCATGGTGTTTCGTTGGCGGAATTCGAAAGTGCTAGAGGCGAAGTGCTCAGTCCGTAGAGTTAAGTTTTTGAGTTGGGTTTTTGAGTTTAAACTCTAAATTTGTTTTGGTGGCTTGATTTTTTCCTAGTCGATTTGTGTGTTGTTTTTTTTATTTACTATCTGAGTTGATTCAAGATGGTGATGTTATATTGTGTTTTTGGCAATTTCTAGCTTTATTCTTTTGCTTTTTTAGAGCGCATATTGAATGAATTAAGAATTGAGTTCCCCAAATATGTTCCCCATCCAAGTCTTACACCGTACATTATATAAGCGATATAATTTTTTTAAATTCCGAATGAGCGCTCATTTGAACATTTGAGCGCGCTTTTATTTCTTTGTGAAAACAACTTTAAGCATTGCATTTAAGGTTCTATTTATATTGTTGTATATTTATTTCAACTAGAACAATTACCTAAACACAATTGGTGACAGTTTTAAGAGAACTTTAGTACTTTTTTTATCGATGAGTATTTATCAATTTTGTTAGCACGCATATTTTAGATATATAAAATGGTGGCAATATATCATATAATTATTTTTTTGTAATTTGGTATTATAAATTTTGAGTCTAAACTCAAAAACGTCTAGATTTAAGTTAAGTTTAATAGGTATCTTTTTTTTTTTTAAGTTTGACAAAGATTTTAGTTTGTGATTTATTTTCTTTAGAAATCGTTTGGTGTTTTCTATCATAGTGTGGCATATGAGTCCTGTAGTTTGAAGGTCGTCATTTTGATTCGGCACAGTCGCCTAATATTACTTGGCTTTCTACAAGCGATATCGTTAATAGACAAAAAAATCGAGAATGGCATATTCACGTTTGATCACGTGACATAGCATTTCTTACTAATGTTAAAAGAAAGTTTAGATGGATGTTTGGATATTTGATACTATTTTACGCCAAAACGGCTGAACGGATTTGGATGAATTTTGGCACAGAGATAGATTATAGTCTGGAATAGTAATATTTGACATTTTGAATAAAACTATCTTTTCGGATTTTTTCGCGGATTTATTTAGAGTTTTGGTTTCCCGACGTTTAAATCCGTTAAAAAATTCGAAAAGATAGTTTTATTTAAAATTTCAAATATTCGCGTATCTAAGAAAGTATTATGGATTATTTTTTATTATTCTGTCTATTTATATGTAATATCACGTCGGCCGTATCTGTTCTATTGTGATCGCCGCTGGAATAAACTGCGTGATTTGTTCTTTCTTAGGGGTATTACACTTCATAATTTTATCTATACCCCCAAATTGTTTGCCAAGACACACACATATTGCATGACACATATTGCACATTAACAATAAACGTCGATGAGATTATTTCAGTATAAGAAACACGGAAAGTGCACTATTCAATTTTCCAGGAGACAAAACAATATTATTATTATTAATAACTATTAATATATAACCTTAAATACGTTGTTCTCTCATATTAAATATGTGTGTGCTTTGAGTTCACTTACAATTACTCCAGAATTTTCTAATTTTCCCCAACTTTGGGGTCATTCAAGTATTATATAAGCAGAATTTTAGTAATTATTAACTCCTCCGTACCCCATTGTCAGCAAAAGTAAGCAAAGATCAACCCCCCCCCCCCCCTCCTCCTCCACTTTCCACGCTTACATAAACATTACGCCTCAATTGTTCCGGGGAATCCCTGAATATGGTTTTTGCTTTTGAGCATAGATAAGTAGGGTTGTCATGTGTTCTGATAACATTGATTTGAGAAATCAAAATCTAATAAATTTTAATTAATTTAACTGTCGGCCTAATCACCATCTAGATCTCTCTGTCCCCTATGTCATCAAAAATAAGCAAAGCAAAGACCCCCCCCCCCCCAACACCTCTCCCCCCACCCCTTGTCCCCCAATTTGTACTTACGTAAAACTTGAATGGCTATTTCAAATTCTCTTTAAAACACTACAGAATATACGAACACATTTTCACATAATGATACCAGGACTCGAATCTGCGACCTTCTAAACTAATTATTAGTCGTTTTTTTTTAATATTATTCACCGGGCTTCCAATAGCTAAATAACAATCTTCTGAGCTCGATGAATGGTCATTGGCAGTATTGTGAGATGTAGTACAGGAGCAAGAGGACGATTACGGAATGTCTCGAGAAATTTATTTATTTTATTAGAATTTTATAACAGAGAATATTATTTTAATTTTTAATCCAATAGGAATGAGAGGTTTTTTCGAAGAATATCGCCTATATTTTTAGGTGCTAACTAGTTTGTCCAGTTAGAAAATCTAAACGTATCGACATAAATGTATATAGCATAGAATATTGAAATTTTAATTAATTATGTACTTATTGATATTCAGAGAGACGATTGTTTTTATGTGGGTATTTCTCCGAGATTGCGTTCTTCGTCTAATTTATCTAGCCAAAAATTATTTTCATTTTTGGCTCTATTCAACATACCCTTATGATTAAAGACATATATTATTATTTGGTATGGAAGAACGCAATCTCGGAGAAATACCAATGTGTATCTATATACATATGTTATATATTACTAGCGGCTCTTCGTCCCTGGGTACGTTTTAACGGTTAGTATGGAATAGATTTACTATACTGCTCCGCTCCCTTGTGTAGTAGCATGATGATATATAGTCAATAAACGGGCTACCTAATGCAAAAAGAATTTTTCAAATCGCATTAGTAGTTCCTGAGATTAGCGAGTTCAAACAAAACAAACTCTGCCTCTTTATAATATTAGAAGATTAGTATAGATTGGCAATTAAATTGGTCTCGAAAAAAAATCTCCGATATTTGGGAGTGATGATAATAATATATTTTTTTTCGATATATGTTAATAATAACAGTCGTCTCTCGGAGTATGAATTGGATTCTTCCAATGCTTTACATTGATTATCGGCCGCTTGTAGCGGCTTGGTGATTTATTTTTTGTTACTATTGTAATAAATAATTTATTTATAATTATTTGTTTTATTTCAACTTTATATACTACTAGCATTGCCCGCGGCTCCGCCCGCGTTCAGATGACCAAAACCCAAATTCTTAGGTTTTACACATTAGTATACTCTACATTGCAGTTTTTGTATTTTTTCTCAGAAATGTGACATTTTCCGGTGTTGGCCCGGATAACCAGCTATGATGATAGATGATACCAAATTTCATCAAAATCCCTTCAGTGGTTTTTCCGTGATGCGGTAATAGACAGGCAAAAATTCTAAAAACTATAGATTCGGCCTCTGTACTGCTGATAGGATTTGGCAAAGTTTTACGACCGGCCGCCTGCTTGACGTGAACCCTCCTTGGGAATGCTATTGTCTCTCTTTGAATGGTGTCGCGTCTTGTAATTATTATGCACTTTCAATTTTTTTGTCTTTTAAAACATTTTTTATACTATTATTTGAATTTTTAATGTTATTTTCGGATATATTTTAAAATATATTTTGATTACACAATAAATTTTGTTTTGACTGAGAAACTTATACTAATCATTAAAAATATATCTGAAAAGGATTTTAATAATACTACAAATATACATAATAAAATGCTTTATTTAAATTATATATATATATAACATCGCTGACTCGACTAAACAAAGTTAGTTCATTTTTCAATTTTGTCCCCTAAAATTCTTAATATGACGATTTGTTATCCATATATTAAAGGAAAAAAATAGCCAAAAAAATATAGCCAGTCTAATTACAAAACATCATAATACATGACAGGAATGTTAATTTTAATACCTACAATATTGCACAAATCTTTAGAAAGGCTTTTTAACCGACTTTAAAAAGAGAGTTCTTTAATTCTGCTACTTTTGTTTATGGGTAGCGACAGCAGTTAAAATTTGCAGTTCTAAAATTAACACCGGATGGCGGATACATATATTTAGCCCTTTTTAGGGTTCCGTACCCAATGGGTAAAACGGTACCCTATTACTAAGACTCCGCTGTCCGTCCGTCTGTGACCAGGCTGTATCTCATGAACCGTGATAGTTAGACAGTTGAAATTTTCACAGATGATGTATTCCTGTTGACGCTATAACAACATATACTAAAAAACAGAATAAAATAAATATTTAATATAACTAACGTGATTTTCTTTGCTCATTTTTGCTCGATATTGATAACGGCAAGAGCTATAGCTATATATATATATAATATTAACAGAATATTTAGTTTTATAATAACTTAATTAATTTTAATAATAAATAATCACATTAAAATAAAATGTTTCAGGGGGGCTCCCATACAACAAAGGTGGCTTTTTTGCCGTTTTTATAGATAATGGTACGGAACACTTCGCGCACGAGTCCGACTCGCACTTGGGCGGGTTTTTTGACATCCCACTATTGGACATTGGCCTTCCTTTACTACAAGGAGGATCAGGCCATAGTTCACAAGGATTAAATCTATACTTTTTAATAGTATTACTATGAAAGTGTGTTTGTTTGTCCTTCTTTCACGTCGAAACGGAGAGATGCATTGGCGTGATTTCTTGTGTGGAGATAGTTGGCGGGCTGGAGAGTGACATAGGCTACTTTTTACCGCGGGAGATTATTTTATTCCCACGGAGAAACACGTTATAATACAATAAAAAAATTATACACAGAATTACTTGAAACTTGGTATTAGTGCTCCTTCAATAAAATTAAATAAATACGTGTTTTAGTATTTTTCGAAATTCATCCTATAAGGGGGTTAAAGAGATTTTTTACAGTTTTAGCACGAGCGAAGCCGGGGGTTTGCTAGTAAAATAAATAAATGAAGCGTGTTCAAATCCCTATCGGTTTCCTAAGCGAACACGCTACCACTGTGCTACCACTGCCTCAATCTGATTGATCTATACTTTGATAACTATAACATTATCTATCAATGTTATTTCTGCAATTTGGCGGTAGAAAATTCTAACGCTTCCACCAATACCTCGCAGTTACTAATTTAATACAAAAGCAGTGCAGTTTTTTTTTTGACATTAACACAAAGCACCATCTAGTTCCATGGTAAGCTACGAGGCTTGTGTTATGGATACCAGATAGTTGATACACTACATATATATAACTTTAAATACATACATATTATATATATAAACACTCATGACTGGAGAACAAACATCCGTGCTCATCACACAAATGAATGCCCCCAGCGGGACTCGAACCCGCGACCGCTGGAACAGCAAGTAGGGTCACTACCAACTGAGCCAAACGTGTCGTCAAAGTAGTCGGCAGTGTATATTTCACAAAAAGAATTCTAACTTTGCTTTCTACTCATATGTATCAACACATGCCTTCTCAAATGCTTCTTCCATTTGAAAGTCTCCTCACAAAAATCACATTTGAACGGTCTGTCTGACGAATGCTTCACCTCATGCTGAGCTAAATTGCCACTCGTCGCGAACGTTTTGTCACAAATTTTGCACACGTACTTCTTTTCCCCCATATGATAGGTTTTTTGATGGCGTAAAACTTGGAAAGGATATGAGAATTTTTTCCCACAAGCCCCGCAGGTAGGTGCCGGAACACCATGGACTCTTTCTAGATGACTTGCTCTCATGTGAGCTGTGACTTTTTCTGCACAGTAGTAACATCCGATCAACTTTGGCCGCTGTTTCAAATGAACATGACGGTAGTGTTGTTTGAAAAAATCGCGTTTTTTATATGAATTAGAGCAAATTTTGCATATATACTGTGTGCCGTCGCAGTCTTCTTTGAGAGTGTAATGTTCGTCGAAACTCGTTTTTTTACCTGGAATTTAATAATCTTTAATCATTGCTTATAGAATTATAATATTTTAATTTACTTTCTAATTTTTATGTAGCGACCTCTATTGCAACAAATTTAAAAATAAACGTGTGTGTGTGTACTTATGTACGCACGTAAGAAGTTATACTTCTTTGGTGTAACAGACAAAAATAGCTAAAGATTTCATCCCGTATGTCACAACTCTCTGTTTGTAAAAGGAATGCAGCTAACTTTATCATGTCGCGTTTAGGCTGTCGGTGTGCGCGCACATCGTAAAAATTTTACTCTCATATTTTTTTCTAAACGTGCCAAAAGAAGTATAACTTTAAAAAATGTTAGAAAATCTAGTTTTAGGACAACATTGTTTATTCAACTTCTAAGGTACTACCTTAGAAGTTGAATAAACCTAGAAAGATTTTTAGTTAGTGTTCAAATTCTTTGAAAAATTTATGAAATTTTTATATTTAAAAGAAGAACGTGTGTAAAATAAGGTATAAATTCGTATTGAAGTGAGACCTGCACCAGGCAGTGGGACGTTAAAAAAAGGCTGAATACATAAATTACACAGACATGGTGAGTTTTGCTTAATTGTAAGGTCACTTTTAAAAAAAAAATGTCATGTTATTCTTGGATAGATACTTGTTAAAAACCAATAAAGGTATAAAAGAAAATACAAATAAAGTTTATGTTATAACTACCTACAAAAAAAAGATATTTTTCAAATATCTGTCTGTCTGTTTGTTCTGGCTTATCTCCAAAACGGCTGGACTGATTTTGACAGGACTTTCACTGGCAGATAGCTGATGTTATAAGGAGTAACTGAAGACTACATTTATTTTAGAAAAAGAATTAAAAAAAATTAAAACCCATGAAATTGTGAAAATAATCTGCGTACCTAGGGACGCACGCGAGCGAAGTGAGGGGTTATTCGCTAGTTAAAAATAAAACTCATTGTTATATTTAATAATGCCCGTATATTATTTATATGACAGATAAAAAATAAACAAACACTATATTGTTGTATTGGCAGTGTGAAGATACCCTAACGGCAAGTTGCAAAAGAAACTTTTGTAAAAAGACATTATTTCGATGGCTGGGATGAATATTTTAATACGTTTGTAAAATATTATAAATTAAATGACGTTAAATATGACATTTTAATAAATAACTGGATTTAATAAAACCTCTTTTAACTTTAAAATTGTCGTTCTGAGCGATTGACGTTTATGTTAGACATATTAACATATTCACGCTAGCCATGTATTTAATCTGTCTATATCTTTTAATTCATTGAATATTTTGAGTGGACTCCACTATGGAGGGTAGAGATAAGGAGAACCATCTTATTTGGGAGATAAAATGAAAATGTCCATCTGTAATCGGTAAATAACAGTTCAAAAACCTTCCAGAATGGCGCTAGCGTAGATGCAGGGTATGGCACCTGTAAGTCTACAGGTGGTATGCGTAAATGCATTTCTCAACAGTAAAAAAAGGGCATGGTAAGAATTTAGCAGTCGTAGGCGGAGTGAAGTGTGTTAGGTACACATTCTTTACTTGACATCATTATACATATCTTCCTACCGTCACATCCTAAACTCCTTCGATATTCCTTACCTGGAGGTAGTACTCAAAAAAGCTTCAACGGCCGCGTACGGCGATGGGACGAGCTCCGCATTCTCCCCATCAAATTTAAGACTACGCGTCAAAGTTATCGTGCGAAACGCAATAAACTATCTTATTTTACAATTACAAACTTTAAGCAAATCACCCGGTGTTGTGTGAAAGTGATTGGTGTACAAAACGCGACTTAAGAACCCACGCGGGACAACGGCGAACCAGGTAGTCCATCCACCCTTTCTATCTTTACCCAACATCCTTTTATGGTCCTTCGAGCCGGATATCCTTTAGTAATCAAACCTCATTTTCAATAAATCATCCTTATTTCCATCAAAAAACATTACATATATACCTACAATAATATACATCTAATTTTTACATTTCGCTTGACGCCATATTGCATACGTAAAATTAACAATTTCATATTGGCATCACTGTTTCATTCCGGATTGCGAATCGGTCAACCGTCAATGTCAAATAGTGTCTTGTCATTTGTCACTTGTTATTTGTCAGCTGTCAAATTGTCACATTTGTTTATATTTTGCATACTATCATAATATATTAGTAATTTGTATATTGTACAATACGTAATTAAAATATATAACGATCAACGATGTCTGACCTCAAAATGCATTTAGTAAAATATGAAATAGCACTAAATCATATAAAGCAGTTATATGATTTGGGTGGTAACATTATTAAAAAACCTTCTGTAAACATGAAGGAAAAGCAACAGTTTCTTGTACGGTTTAAGGATATAGAAAGATATCGGCAGCAAATGGAGGAGTCTTTCTCATTTTTAATAGCAAATATCGATTCTTTTGGCGAAGATAAGCGTAGCGAAATTGAAAAGAATTATAATATTTCAAATGACATGTTTTACTCAATACAAGTGTATCATACTACTTTATTTGAGTCAAAATCTAGTGCAAATTGTGATACACAAGTAATTCCAGTGCCTAGCTGCGAGTTTCATTTACCTAAAATATCATTGACTAGATTCTCAGGTGCTCATATTGAATGGCCAAATTTTATTTCTATTTTCAACAGTTTAATTCATAATAACAAAAAGTTAAGTGAAATTGAAAAAATGCATTATTTACTGAGTGTATTAGACAAGGAGCCTTTATCTCTTATCAAAAACTTAACTATATCTAATATAAACTATAATATTGCATACAAATTGTTGGCTGAGCGATATGAAAACCAAAGAGTCATAGCGGACAAGTATGTTGAGTCTATTCTTAACTTACCTAACCTTACACAAATACATTTTAAGTCTTTAAACAAATTTTTAAATACTATTAAAGAAAATACAAATGCTTTAACTGCTTTAGAGTTTAATGTAAAGTCATGGAGTTTCTTATTAGTACATATATTACTAAGAAAGATTCCTATTGAATTTAGAAGTAAATTTGAGTCACAAATTAATCCCATAAATATTCCCACATTTGATGATTTTATACAATTTTTAGAAATTCAATTGAGAATATTAGAAAACATTTCAGGTTCAACTTCTCATACAAAAACTAATACACATAACTCATTAAATATTATTGAAGAGAAACCTAAATTAAATTATATTGCAAATTATTCTTGCCCTTGTTGCCAGAGTAAGCACAGCATATATAACTGTTTAAAATTTAACGCTATGACTCAGGAACAAAGAAAATCTTTTGTTATTCAACATAAACTTTGCTTTAACTGCTTGAGACCACATCATGTTTCAAAATGTACTTCTAGAAGTGTATGTCAGATATGTCATGGCCATCATCACACAAAATTGCACATTTCAAAGGCCACAGCTGACAATAATTATACTCAGCATGCATCAGCTCCTAATAGCAATGAAGCTGCTGTGTCGACTACTAGTTCCGCAGTCCAACTTCAAACTTTACATGGTGCCGATGGTGCATCCACTATGCTTCTTGGTACAGCCCTCGTAGGAATTTTAGATGTAAATGGTTATACTCACATTGCTCGCGCATTAATTGATTGTGGCTCTCAGGTGTCTATTATTACAGAAAATTTAGCTCAAAAATTGAAACTTCATCGAACTCAATCTTCATCAATTTTTGGTTTAGGTGCAGCATCCCCTCAGCAAACTCTAGGCAGGGTAACATGTCATATTAAGCCTCTGATAAATGCTTCTAAAACATTAACTTCCGATTTTATTGTTTTGAGGCGCATTACAAATAATCTGCCATCAGTTCAAGTTAACAAATCAGTTTTAAATCTATGTAGCAATTTAGTATTAGCAGACAAAAGTTTTATCATTCCTGGACAAGTCGACCTGCTCTTGGGCATTGACTTGTACGAACAGATCCTTGATGGTAGAAGGTTCAGTCTAGGTGACAACATGCCTACTGCCTACTCTTCTATCTTTGGATGGGTAATTATGGGCAAAGCTCCCGCAGCATCGTCACACGTTCAAGATGTGATGTCGATGGCCTGCACATTTGACCTCAATCTTGCACTTACAAGGTTCTGGGAAGCAGAAGAGTTCTCCAGTCAACCTATTCAAGATCCTGAGGATGTTCTATGCGAAAAACACTTTTGCGAAACGCATCGTAGAGACGACACTGGTCGTTTTCAAGTTCGTCTTCCCTTCAAGGTGAATCACAAGCCTTTGGGGGACACACGTATCAATGCCCTGAAACGCTTCTACAATTTGGAACGTAAGCTTATCAGGGATCCGCGCTTGCGTGAACTCTATGTAGAGTTTATGCGAGACTATCTTAGTTCGGGTCATATGCGTGAAGCTTCTTGCTCTGACGCAAGTGAGCGATACTACATTCCGCATCATGGTGTTCTGCGCGAATCTAGTAGCACGACTAAGCTTCGTGCAGTTTTTGACGCTTCGGCTTCCAGCTCAACCGGTGTTTCGTTAAATCAGGTCCTAATGACAGGGCCTAAATTGCAAAGAAATATTGAAGATATTATTATGCGCTTCAGGATTCACAAGATCGTCTTCACCTGTGACATCAAACAAATGTACCGTCAGGTGCGCATGGACGATGCTGACTGCAAATATCAAACCATATTCTGGCGCGAATCTCCTGACCAACCTCTTAAGGAATACGAGCTTACCACTGTTACCTACGGTGTTTCAAGCTCTGCCTTCCAAGCAATCCGTGTTATACACGAGCTTGCTTCTCTTAATTCCAATCAACATCCAGAAGCTTCTCAAGTGCTGCTAAATGACACTTTTGTCGATGATATCGTCAGCGGGTGTGATTCCGTGAAATCTGCTAGGGAATTACAGCAGGTACTGGTCAGTATCCTATCTCAGGGCGGTTTTCTCTTGCGTAAGTGGTCGAGTAACTGTAAGGAATTCATAAGCGACTTTCCTGCTGATCATTGCGAGCAGCCCTATCTGTTTGAAC